GGCACGTGGGCTTCGGCAGTTGTGGCTCCCAGGCTCCAGAGCACAAGCTCAGTAGTTGGGGCTCACAAGCTTCGTTGCTCTGCAGCATGCGGGATCTTCCCTAAATAGGGATCAAATCAGTGTCTCTTGCATTTGCAAGGGAGATTCTTACCTCTGGATCACCAGGGAAGCTCCACTGTTGAGTTTTAAACAAATACTCTTTCATTCTTTTCCTATATAAACTGATTGTTCAATGAATATTTAAGCATACTCATGTCTTCATAGAGATAAAGTATTAGAAAGGAACTGCTAAATCAATAAGGAAGTAAAAATCTCAAAGACCACGCTGTCCACCCCAAGAACTGTACTAATAATGTTCCCATGAGCAGGACCAGAGTGTGTCCATTTTCTGATCCCTTCACCAAGCCTGAGGCACTGGGCTATTTCCATCTTTACCAAGCTGACAGCAGAAGCTGCAGCGCCTCACTGCTTTATAATTGGTATATTATATATACCAATTAAATGATAGTGAACTTTAAAAAATATTACTGATAATTCATACTTTGTCTTTTATGAATTGTCTGCTCATATTTTTCCATAGGTGGTATTTTCCTATCACATTCTCAGTACTATAATCAGTTCTTTCACAAGTCTCTAGGGTTCTCAAAAATGAGTCAGGTTAAGCACTTGGAAAGGCAATGAAATCATAGTTAAAAGCCTGAGAAGGTAGATTGCTAAAGAAAAATGGATGCAGAATTAGTTAGCCTCGACAGAGGAAACCAAAACTGCTTTTGAAGAAGAGGACTGTTAGAACTTTGAAATGAAAGAGGGAGTGAAAGGGTCTTCTCTGAGCACCACTCCTCTCCTTAAAAGTAAGTCAAATGGAGTCAGGGGCTAGGGGAAGAGAGGAGAAGGCAACTGCTGGAGTTGGAGGCAGGAATTCATCCATTTCAGATGTAGATACCTCTCCTCTCAAGGCTTAGTTATTGAAAACATATATCACAAGAAGGGTAATAAATTCTTCATAAATCAGTCTAAGGATAGATAATCAGAACCACTTCTTGGCATGAGACTAGGGAATACTGCAAGTTGTAAAATTTCTCTCTTAAAATCTAAAAAATGAGGATAGATATCTATTCATACAGTCTAGTAAGACTAAGGGCTTGCTCAGGGCTCATTCCAACCCTAATCAGAAATAGGACCATGAGGAATAAAGCAGATTGAACTCAAGACAGAGAAGAGCCAGATGCAAGCCTCATCAAAAAAGATGATATGGCTGCTATAGCTTTGTGGCTTTGGAAATTTTATGTCTTGTCTGACTTGGGGTGTGAGCCCTGAAGTCTTGTAAGAAGAGATGCTGTTTTTAGAATTCAGCCACTCTAAACAGCTCCTATCACTGAGCAACCAGGCACTAAACTGTCTGTGACATCTGCATGCTGGAATCAAAAGTCAACTTCCATGACCCATTCTGTGGGAAGAGAAATTTTCCAGAGTAAAGACACACACTCAGATCTACCTTGGACCTTTTAATATCACAAGATGGCAGTAGGAAGTGAGGAAGATGCCAAGCAAATAGCTCTGAGAAGAATGCCAATCTTAACAATAAACCATTAAGGAAATGCAGCTTCTCTTGCCTGCTTGTCAAAAGAAGACAGAGTGCTGTAAGCCAAGAAGTAATTTTTTTTTTAAGTCGTTAATTCTAGGAAGTAGCGCTCATGGGGCAACTAATGCATTCTTGCTTAGTCTTGTGGAACACTGATGTTGAAAGCTCAGTATTAAGGGGTTGCTATAAAAATCCTTTCCTCAAACTCTGAGCACTGCTGGCAGAAATGTAAAGATGTATAGTCAGTGTGGAAAACAGTATGGCAGTTCCTCAGAAAATTAAAAACAGATTTACCATACATCCTAGTAATTTTATTTTTGGGTACATACCCCAAAGAATCTTGAGTTTTAAGAGATATTTGCACAGTCATGTTCCCCGAAGCATTGTTCACAACAGCCAAAAGACAGAAGCAAACCATGTGTCAACTGACAGATGGATGAACAAAACACAATAGAATATTATTCAGTCTTAAGAAGAAAGGAAATTCTGACATATGCTGCAATATGGATGAACCATGAGGCATTATGTCATGTGAAATGTTAGTCTCTCAGTCATGTCTAACTCTGTGCAACCCCATGGACAGTAGCCTGTCAGTCTCCTTGGTCCATGGAATTTTTCAGGCAAGAACAGGGTTGGAGTGATTTGACCAAAACCACCTACCTACTAAGTGGCTAGAACCAAGCTCTTACATGTTCAAATCTGTTACTGTATTTCCCTAAACCTTAAGTTGAGCTCTCTAGTCAAAGGCCTGATTGACCTGGGATGGATGCAAAGGAGACCATTAGCTGCCTTGAGCTGTGGGCCACTAAAGAGCAAGGAGCTCAGTCACACAGAATTAGGGCCTCCCTTCCTCACTCACAAGGCAAAAGACTACATGACACACCCAAAGGAAATTATATGTGTAAACATTTAAAGAGCATAAAATAAAATGTGAAGTCACAAAAGACACAGTTGTCAGGAGACTGAGGTTCCATGACTCACCACCAGGAAGGATGAGTGTGGGAGGGGAAAGCATATTTGTAAAACCAACCAACCAATACACCTGACCGCTGTCCACCATGGAGTGGAGAGAGTGACCAACTGCTTGCTTTGAGGGGCAGGAGACAAACCCGCAGTCTGCCATGGGACCAGAGACCCTAAATTCTCAGTCCTCTCCTCAGTGGAGTATTTCGAGATGCCGCGGAAGGATATGGGGATAAAGAGCTGTAACTGAATGCTGAATGTGCCACAGCCTGGGCACTGAAGTAAATGAAATATTCAGAGACACAATGGTCACATGCCATCCTCAGCCCAAATTCCAGACAGCAGCATGAAAGGAGGAAACTGAGGATTTGTTGAGTTTAGCTACTACTTTCATCCAGGGGTTTGGCAGCTTCCTGACATGTGGGCTGTGGGCTGTTTATATCTCCTCAAACAGTGGGTAGCAGGCCTGGCTCAAGGTTGGCGGAGTCACACATGGAAGGCTATGGAGTTAGGAGTCTGGGGTTTGATGGTTGGGGACAGAAATGGAGAGTAATGGGACTGCCGAAAGCCTTTCAGCCTCAGGTTTTATTTAATTTATTCATCTGATCTGCAAATACTCAGTGAGTGCCAGCTATGCCCAGCAGTATTCCCGACACTGGCAGTACACTGGCAAATAAGATAGACAAGGCCCCTCCCTCAGACCTGACATTCTGGTGGGGACTGAACAAGCAAACAACAGGCAATGAAGAAGCAAAAACCAACAATGTCATGATACGTGCTATGAAGAATAAAGCCAGCGAGTGTGACTGACAGCGCCCACAGGACCACATTGGGCCTCACTGAGAAGACAGCATTTAAGCTCAAGACCCAAATGTCGACTGACAAGAAGGAAAACCTTTCCAGGCAGAGTACCAGAAAGTGCAAAGGCCCTGGGGTGGGAATCAGGTCAGCTTACTGAAGGAAAGACTGAGGAGATGAATGCTCTGAGCTCAGGGCAGAGAGGCAGCCAAGGGCCAGATTCGTCAGGGCCTTGTGGGTGTGGTAAGAAGCCTGGATTTTTTGCTTAGTGATTTGAGAATTCAAAGGAGTAACATGTATGATTTATGCTTTCATCCTCTGGCTTGTGCCAAGAGGCCACCCTTCCAGCTTCTGCAGCTCATGGGCTATCTGGGTAAGAACAAGGCATGAACCTGAAGGGGTATCTTGAAACTGGCCTGTCTAGGCCCTGCCAGGCATACCTGAAAGATGCAACAGAGAAAAGGACCTCTATTTGACATCTTCTCATTTCTTTAACTATCCTACCTGAGTCATTCCTTAATGATTTTAAGTATTTCTGACCTACCTCCAGGTCCAGCCAGTTACACACAATACTACCTGATTAAGGCAAATTTCTGCTGCTTCTTAGAAGAGGCAACAAACTATCTAATAAAGAAATAAAAACTGTCTTGGTACCCTAGCTGTGGGTCTGTTTTGTAAGCAGAGGATTTCCACATCACAATCCCTTCCAATTGTGAAGCCATCAATCAAATAAATCCCTCTGACATTTTGGGAGAGAAGAAAAAACCAAGCAGATTCTTTCAGTTCAAGAAATCGACAGGGATAAGAATGAGGAAAAAGAAAAACTATCAACAGCAAAATGACTGCCAGTTATTTCTAAGGGGCTGGATCTCTTTGCTTTTCGAAAGGGACTGATCAAGAAGGAAAGAGCAACTTCTGTCCCTCACATGGTGCTCCTCTTCCCCTAAGAGGATGAGGAGGGGAGCAGAGAGAAATCTTTGGCATCATGAATCCCAACTGGAAAGCATCCAAGCTTTGTTTCGAAAGCTGTTTCAATCAGACCACGCTAACTGTTTCTTACTTTTTAGACTGCTTACTTAAAAATCAGTATACAGCAGATTGTAGGGGAGATTAGAACTACTTATCTTGATGATGAAAAGTAAAGTTCAGATAGTGGAAAGTAGTGGAACCTAGGTCTCCTGACTCACATTCCCTATCAAACTTTATTATGCATTTTTATCTTATAAAAATAAAGCACTTTAGAACAAAACAGGAATAGGAAGTCACTCATAATCCAATTAGTATACTATACTATTATGATTTTATTCCTTCTATCATGTGCTTGTAGGTTCCCCCCACACACACTGTTATCATCACACTGGACTAAAAGTTCTTTGCAATACACAGGCGCCTTACATTACCATTAACACAGTCAAGGATATGAGACTTAACACTGATGTGATGTAGAATACAATTTGGTATAATTTGAGCTGAATTTACTGTCTTTGCTAAGGATAAGCACCTTCCAAGTGAATGTTGTCCCTTTTATTGAGACACAGTAAAAATATGGAACAGTACCTATTATTAGGTCTTGGACTGCAGGTTGTTCTCAGAGTGTTTAAAACAGAACTCTCAAGAGGCCCTGCGATGTAACTTAACTTCAGTTTTATTTACCTACCTGGTGCATCAGGTACTTGAAGAGGAATGAAAGGATCAGATACACTTAGAAGAGGAAGGTTAGAATCCACAGTCTGCCCACCCTTCCTTTTTTCAGCTGGAGTTGGTTGGAGGGGAAGGAACGGTCAAGGAGACAGGGAAAAAGAGAAAAGCAGAAAACATCAAGTAAATCTAGATGTATTTACCATCTATTAACCCAACTCAAATTATAAAGTCTAAATTTATAGGCAGAATAAAGAGAAATGAGTGGATACAATTCAATGTAATAGCAAAATATGTATGAGATATATACTCTGGTCCTCGCAGCACAGTCTGAGATGCAGTTAATGATGAAACTAGGATAGCTGTACATCTGAAATTTCTCTTCTTCCTTAGATACTGCAGTCCAGAGTAATCTCTTTTAGAATTCCTACAGCAATTACTAGCCCTATCACACATTTTGGTAGGTAAACAAACTCTATTTTGTAATCTAGAATATGGGTATAGGTACTTCCTTTGTACCCATTTCCCTCGTGAGGTCTTTTAGGGACTGAATCCTATTCTATCACTAAATGTCTAATGTAATCCTAGGCAAACAGAGAGACAGAAACAGAGTTTTTGCCTATTGCAAGGTTAGACAAGCCCTAACCTCTGGACAACCTCTACCATACTATTGGCATTCACTCTGTATTTGGCAAACTTATAGATTTACAAAAAATCTATACACCTTAAGGAATACCAGAGTTTGAAGGGATCTTCGGATTTTCTAGCACAATTTTCTTATTTTTCAGAAGAGAAAATGAAGCCCAGAAGTTAAGAGACTAACCAGAGGTCCACCAGCAGACCCATGATCAAAACACAGGTCACCTAGTTCCTACTTCACCATGCTGTACCTTGCATTTTATTAATCAGCTTGTTTCTCAATTAAAATCTAATCTAGCCTTTTATAAAGCAGATGTACAAAAAAGTTTAATTTTCAAATAATTAAAGAAAAATAGGAAGTTGCAGTACATAGAACCCTGTGAACCAGCTTCCCCCAGTGGTGAGTTCTTATAATTGAAGCTGATTATCATTGACACTGGTGCAATTCTGTTGACTAACCTCTATCCCATTTATACAAGTTTTCACATGTATTCATTTGTGTGTATATATATAGTTCCTTGCAATTTGATTCTATGTATAAATTAGTCTAAGTACCACAACAATGATACACAACGGTTCTATCAAACAAAAATCTTCCCTGTATTCCACTACAGTCACACCCACTCCTTACTCTTCTCCTAATCTAATTCTGTCATTTTGAGAATAATCAATAAACTGGGCTTCTAACTAAGCTTCGTTAAAGGTTGATGGAGGAAGAGAAGGGTAAAAACCACAGCTTTTAAGTCTTTGAAATATTTTAAAATGAGATACAATGAAATATATTCAAAGAAAAATAAATTATGAAAAAATATATATAGCATAACTCGTTTTGAAAAAATGTATGTATACAGAAATAAAACTATGGACATAAATACTGTAAAACATTAGCAATGTTTTCCTCTTGGAGCGGGGTTATGAGTTTCTTAATCTTGCTTCTTTGGGGTTTTAGCAAATGAACGTATATAATTGGTCAACCAAAAACTATTTTTAAAAAAGAGGTACAATGTCAAGTTTTAATCATCTGACTGTTTCTCCTCTAATGTATGGACATAGTTTAGTTAACATTTTTGCAGCTTTTACCATAAAAATGTTATTGATAACCCGTGTCATCTTCACCAACTCATTGCCACATTTCCTGCTTAGCTCCTCCCTTGACTGGATAGAAGGTTTTAAAATCAGCGAACCGCCTGAGCTTGATTAGAAACCTTCCAGAAAATATTGCCACCTTGAACTTCATACAAATGGAGACATACTCATTTCTGGGACTTAGACATAATTTTCTTTCATTTGTAAATAATGAAGATTCTTCTTCATTCAAATTACAAATATGAACACAGAGAAAACACCAAATGTTCACAGAAAAATGTTGCATAAACTGAGGGAAAAAGATGTTCTGTAATGTCTGCAAAAGTTTACTGTCACTGATTTATAAGATTTCTGAGATGTGTTCATGACTACAGCTACTGTGCTGGGCTGCTCAGGTACAAATCTCTACTCGTGTCATTCTCCACCTGGGATCTTGGGCAGGTCACTCAGTCTCTTGTGGGCTTTTGTGAGGGATCACTAGGGAGAAAGCGAATAAAAGCACTTAGTGTGCTTAGCATGTGGCATGTATTCAACATATGTTCACTGTTATTACTGCCCTAATTTTACTCAAATATCTGTTTTCTAAATTGTTGGGCCTTTAAAAAAACTGCCATTTACAGTCTTCAAAGTAAGCATAAAGGGGAGAAGACACAAAAATAAAAGCAAAAAACAACTCTTAAAAAAAACAGTTCATACAGACAAATAACAAAACATAAGATACATAATAAGTTAGAATTAGGCATTAAAACTGGAATTGGATGGAAAATGATTAGGAACCTTTGTCAAAACATTGACGAATCCAAGCTCCTGTCCTTTGGCAGGAAGCAACTCCTTTCCTTCATCCAACAAGTCTGTACTGAGCCAAGCACTGTACTAAATGCTGGGATTCAGCAACAAAGAAGACTCTCCTAGGGCTATTCCACGACCCTCTTTTCCTACCCACACCATAAGTGGTCATCACTGTGGTATTTTATCTCAAGGACAATGACCAATGCTTTATACACTTGGTATCAGTTCAGTTCAGTTGCTCAGTCGTCTGACTCTTTGTGACCCCCATGAATCACAGCACACCAGGCCTCCCTCTCTATCACCAACTCCCGGAGTCTACCCAAACCCATGTCCATCGAGTCTGTGATGGCATCCAGCCATCTCATCCTCTGTTGTCCCCTTCTCCTCCTGCCCCCAATCCTTCCCAGCATTAGGGTCTTTTCCAGTGAGTCAACTGTTCGCACGAGGTGGCCAAAGTACTGGAGTTTCAGCTTCAACATTAGTCCTTCCAATGAACACCCAGGACTGATCTCCTTTAGGATGGACTGGTTGGATCTTTTTGCAGTCCTAGCGACTCTCAAGAGTCTTCTCCTGCACCACAGTTCAAAGGCATCAATTATTCGGTGCTCAGTTTTCTTCACCGTCCAACTCTCACATCCATACGTGACTCAGAAAAAACCATAGCCTTGACTAGATAGACCTTTGTTGGCAAAGTAATGTTTCTGCTTTTTACCATGCTATCCAGGTTGGTCAGAACTTTCCTTCCAAGGAGTCAGTGTCTTTTAATTTCATGGCTGTAATCACCATCTGCCGTGATTTTGGAGCCCCCAAAAATAAAAGTCTGACACTGTTTCCACTGTTTCCCCATCTATTTCCCATGAAGTGATAGGATCAGATGCCATGATCTTAGTTTTCTGAATGTTGAGCTTTAAGCCAACTTTTTCACTCTCTTCTTTTACTTTCATCAAGAGGCTTTTTATTGGTTCCAAATAGGAAAAGGAGTATGTCAAGGCTGTATATTGTCACCCTGCTTCTTTAACTTATATGCAGAGTACATTTGGTATAGTCAAACTAAATATCCAAATTTGAGCACTTTAAACCAGACCAAAATACCAACAAACTTAAAAATCCTACAGACCAGACAACAAAGCTAAAAATGAAAAATAATGCACAAAAAGTTTTAACTATTTAATATTTGAAATGTACACCTTCTGAATAACTCCAATGCCTATTTCAAAATATTAACACTGAAAATATCATATGAAGACTTATGAGATACAGTTAAAACTTGAGAGTTTTTTCTTATAAGGGAAACACACAGCTATTAGAAAGCACTCTTGATAGTGTAATCCTCAAAAGTTGGGGTAGGGTGGGCAACTGGAGCAAGGAGACAAGGGAGTAATAAATTATGTGTGAAAAAGTCTTCCTGGAGATTACAGTCTCCCTCCCCACAGTCAGGCTGGTTGAAAATCTCTCTTATATTGAGAGAAAAACTCTAAAATTTTTTATTTTTAAGAATTAAAGGCGCCGAGTCCTTTTGTCCAAGATGGCGGCGCCGGGGGCGCTGCCTCCTCGGCCGCCGCCGCCGCCGCTGTGAGGGGCCTGCGGGCCGCCCGCCCGCCAGCCGCGCCGGCGCCATGAAGAGGCAGAGCGAGCGAGACTCCAGCCCGAGCGGGCGCGGCTCGTCATCGTCGGCCAAGCGGCCGCGGGAGCGCGAACGGGAGGCGGAGGCGGGCGGGCGGCGGGCGGCGCACAAGGCCTCGGGCGGCGCCAAGCACCCCGTTCCGACGCGGGCTCGCGACAAGCCTCGCGGTAGCGGGGGCAGCGGCGGTGGGCATCGCGACGGCCGAGGCGCCGGGGACGCGAATCACCGTGCGAGCAGCGGCCGCTCCTCGGGCTCGGGCGCCGGCGGCGGGGGACGCGGTGGCAAGGCCTCAGGGGACCCAGGCGCTTCGGGCGCGTCGCCCCGCGCATCTCCGCTACCGCCACCTCCGCCGCCGCCCGGGGCCGAGCCCACGGGTCCCGGCTCCTCAGCGGCTGCACCCGAGTACAAGACGTTGCTCATCAGCAGCCTGAGCCCCGCGCTGCCCGCCGAGCACCTCGAAGATCGGCTCTTCCACCAGTTCAAGCGCTTCGGCGAGATCAGCCTGCGCCTGTCGCACACGCCTGAGCTGGGCCGCGTGGCCTACGTGAACTTCCGGCACCCGCAGGACGCGCGTGAGGCCCGCCAGCACGCCTTGGCCCGCCAGCTGCTGCTCTACGACCGCCCGCTCAAGGTGGAGCCCGTGTACCTGCGAGGCGGCGGCGGCGGCGGCGGGAGCAGCCGGCGAAGCAGCAGCAGCAGCGCCGCCGCCTCCACTCCGCCCCCGGGCCCGCCCGCGCCCGCCGATCCGCTCGGCTACCTCCCGCTGCACGGCGGCTACCAGTACAAGCAGCGTTCGCTGTCCCCGGTTGCCGCCCCTCCGCTGCGGGAGCCCCGCGCCCGCCACGCTGCCGCAGCCTTTGCTCTGGATGCGGCAGCCGCCGCCGCCGCTGTAGGCCTGTCTCGGGAGCGGGCCTTGGACTACTACGGGCTGTATGACGACCGCGGGCGACCCTACGGCTACCCGGCCGTGTGCGAAGAGGACCTGATGCCCGAGGATGACCAGCGTGCCACGCGCAACCTCTTTATTGGGAACCTGGACCACAGCGTATCAGAGGTGGAGCTGCGACGGGCTTTCGAGAAGTACGGCATCATTGAGGAGGTGGTCATCAAGAGACCCGCCCGTGGGCAGGGCGGTGCGTATGCCTTCCTGAAGTTCCAGAACCTGGACATGGCCCACCGGGCCAAGGTGGGCATGTCGGGTCGGGTGATAGGCCGCAATCCCATTAAGATAGGGTACGGCAAGGCCAACCCCACTACGCGCCTCTGGGTGGGTGGCTTGGGACCTAACACCTCACTGGCGGCTCTGGCCCGGGAGTTTGACCGTTTTGGGAGCATTCGGACCATTGATCATGTCAAGGGAGATAGCTTTGCCTACATCCAGTACGAGAGTTTGGACGCTGCCCAGGCCGCCTGTGCTAAAATGAGGGGCTTTCCCTTGGGGGGTCCGGACCGCAGGCTGCGCGTGGATTTTGCCAAAGCAGAGGAGACTCGGTATCCCCAGCAGTACCAGCCCTCCCCCCTCCCTGTGCACTATGAGCTGCTCCCAGACGGGTACACCCGGCACCGGAACCTGGATGCCGACCTGCGGGTGCGGGACAGGACCNAAAAAAAAAAAAAAAAAAAAAAAAAAAAAAAAAAAAAAAAAAAAAAAAAAAAAAAAAAAAAAAAAAAAAAAAAAAAAAAAAAAAAAAAAAAAAAAAAAAAAAAAAAAAAAAAAAAAAAAAAAAAAAAAAAAAAAAAAAAAAAAAAAAAAAAAAAAAAAAAAAAAAAAAAAAAAAAAAAAAAAAAAAAAAAAAAAAAAAAAAAAAAAAAAAAAAAAAAAAAAAAAAAAAAAAAAAAAAAAAAAAAAAAAAAAAAAAAAAAAAAAAAAAAAAAAAAAAAAAAAAAAAAAAAAAAAAAAAAAAAAAAAAAAAAAAAAAAAAAAAAAAAAAAAAAAAAAAAAAAAAAAAAAAAAAAAAAAAAAAAAAAAAAAAAAAAAAAAAAAAAAAAAAAAAAAAAAAAAAAAAAAAAAAAAAAAAAAAGAATTAAAAAATTTACTATGTATTCTTTTTGAAATCAGCAAAGTGAGCCTAAAAAAGGGAACTGTAATCAAAAAGATAACAGCAACAGTCAAAGAATTAGAAGACAGAAAAACAGTTCTATAGAGTTCTCTTTGAAAGATAATAAAACAGCAAGTTTCTAGTTAGAGTTACTAAGAAAAAGAGAAACACAAACGCACACAATAAAACTGACGTATGCCAAGAAAATACTACAGAATATTTCAATGTACTCCTCCATCTTATTAAAAAAAATTTTGAAACTATAGATGATTTTCTAGGAAAATATTATTAAATTTGCCTTATTATGAGGCAGAAAACCTGAGAGAGGAAGTTCTAGAGCCAAATGGTTAGTCTCCTAACTCTGCTACTTACTAGCTATGTGACTCTGGGAAAGAGACTAGTCTGTACTCAGTCACCTCAACCATAAGTGATACGCAAATGGTATGGCAACCTTCGAGGGTTGTTGAGAGGGTCAGATGAGATAATACTTATAAAGGACAAATGACAAACTGGTGGGCACAATGCCTGCAATATATGACACATGAAGCGCTCTTACATATTAATAAGAACAAAACAAACACAGAACCATAAAAAAAAAAAAAAGGACACGAACAACCCAAATCTCAAAAGTAATAGAAATGGCCAGTAAACAGTGTCTTCTATCTAAAACCTCTAAGCTGGTCTGGGTGGGAAAATGAGGTGAAAAATACTCTCATCTATTGTTAATTGAAATAAAATTTGATTAGCATTCTTGGAAACTGATTTGGAAATAGGTACCATAAAGCCTTAAATACATATATATGTTAATTTAGCAAATAATCTCCTAGAAGTTATCTTAAGGAAATCTTAAAGGATATAAATAAAAACTTAGCTGCAGGCATGTTTATGTGGTGAAAATTTATAACAACCTAAGCATTCGTCAGGAGAAGGAAACGGCAACCCACTCCAGTGTTCCTGCCTGGAGAATCCTGTGGACGGAGGAGCCTGCTGGGCTGCCGTCTCTGGGGTCGCACAGAGTCGGACGCGACTGACGCGACTGGGCAGCAGCAGCAAGTGTTCGTCAAAAGTGGTGTTAGATACAATGTTACTATTCTTCCATTAAAAATCATGTTGTAGATTAACATTTATCAACATGGAAAACTAGTTCCCATATAATGTATACAAAACGAATAACAAACTGGACAACAGAAAGCTCCTCCATAGCAAGAACTACCTCTGTGGTTACAGAGGCCATATTATCACAATGCAACTAAAATATATCTTAAGTGACTTTAGGGTGAAGAAATCAAAACTTAAATTTAAAAACATCCAGAAAACAAGAATAAGAGAGCATTACATATTAAATATTACCGAATGACAGCCAAAGTTCTAATAAGAAATAGATTTATGCAGTTAGAAAAACTTCTAACACACATAAAGAAAGCAGGAAGAAGGAATACAAAGAGTTAAAAGCAGTAATTAATCAATATAATTTAAAAGATCAATTTTGAAGGATATCAGATTCCATACAAAGAACATAGTCAAAACCTCACATCCATTGCTGAGGAATTTATAACAGTAAAATGTTGACATAAAATTCATGTTTAAAAAAGAGGTACTTGGCTAAATATACTAGGATATACCCATATAAAGGAATTTTATGTACACAAGTTAAAAGATTTCTAAAGTAAAAACCAGGCTTTAAAATGTGACTATAAAAATGCATGTTGGAGTCATAAATTGAGGGTGAAAAGTGTGTACAGAATAGTGGACACCTGTGTGTTCATAAAGAAGCAGCTCTGTAACTTTCCTCAGATTCTCAAAAGATCTCTGTGACCCTAAAAGGGTTAAATGCTGCTAACAGACATCAAAATGGTATCCAAAATGGTATTTCTTGTGTTAATTTCTTGAGGATGAGATCATGGGGCTTTTAACCTTCTCTATGTTTTCCTATAAATTACTAAATAAAATATATTGTTTATTAATGAAAGGGAAAATTAGGTTTTTATTATTACTTCTAGAATTTTTTAAAAGTCTCATTTAAAAAGGTCTCTCTCTCTCCCCAGAAACACAGACACACATGCACAAAAACAAGCAGCAGCAGAATCAGATATAGTATAGAACATCCAATTCTTAGAACCCTCCAAGTCATTCCAAAGAACCTAAGCAATTACAAGACAATAACAGAGTGATGTTTCTGAAATTTAGAAATATTTGCTTAAGAACATGTCTATGGACTTCAGAGAACAAATCCTGTATATTACTGCCAGATCATTCTGACAATCTAATTCAAAGTAACTTTAGATCATTTTTTAATTCCCCCCCCCCTTTTTTTTTAAGGAAATCTTTTAAGTGATGGAAAATATGCTAGCCCCAGGATCTGGGGCTCGCCGGCATGCTAGGGTCATCTGTGGACTGGAAATCAGTAGTGGGAAGATGACAACAGTGAAGTCTTGAGTTACAGGTGTCTGCCATACTAACCAGTTCCAGCAGAAAATGAGGAAGCAGCAAAAGCATCACCTTGGGTTGGTTGAAAGCCTGGGATCAAACTCTCAGCAGAGTCTCCAAGTTTCTCAGGATATTTGCCTGGAGGGATAAAACACCACTCAGTTCATCCCAGGAGAATCCCACAGTGCACACCCAGGCAGGAGGTGAAGGGCATCCTCCAAACTGACATCTACTCTTGACTGTTTTTACCGCATAAAGGCAACACCTTAGCTATTCAAAGGTCTTTATCTAGCCACTGCAGTAACTGAGAAACAGCTGAGGAAAGAAAGAAGTCTAAAGCCCTAAAGCTTGAGCATATTACTCAGAGCAGAATGCCTCCAGCCTTCACACTGAGTCCATTTATCTCTACATAATTCTAATGAGTGTGATGATCTGTTTTCCACATTAGAAGCAGTTAGGAGAGCAAGTGAGGAGAGAGATGGCAGTGGTGAGATGTTATGAGGGACGGGCACAACGACAACAGCTTAATGTAAAAGCCAACAGCTGACTAACAAGAAGAGTGACAGGAAATTATTAAAATTTTAAAGAAGAATTTTAAAACTAGGGCGTCACTTAATAGAGTGCAAAATACTAATTTTCAATAGTCCGTGAAGGTGCTTCTGTTTATAATCCAGAGCAATAACTGGTATGCATGATGATAGCACAAATTGACAATGAATGTCAAAGGAAATTAAATCCTATTCACTATGAAGACTGAAAAAAAAAAAGGGCAAGAAAGCATTTGGATTTGTTGTTGTTTAGTTGCTAAGTCATGTTCAACTCTTTTCAACCTCATGGACTGTAGCTCGCCAGGCTCCTCTGTCAATGGAATTTTCCAGGCAAGAATACTGAAGTGGGTTGCCATTTCCTTCTCCAGGGAATCTTCCCAACCCAGAGATCGAACCTGCATCTCCTGCATTGGCAGGCAGATTCTTTGCCATTGAGCCACCAGATGTCCATGAAATAATGAAACTAAAATGTTTGGTCAAAGCTGTTATCATTCACTCCATTCTGATCATTCTTTTAGCCTGTGCTTTTGTTGACACTGAGGTACTTTTTTTTAAACTGTATCATATTGAAGAATTTTCCCAGGGTATATACTGTTGTTTTCTGAAGAGAGAGAGAGAGTGAGAGTGTGTGTGTGTGTAGGCATCCTGCCTTTCAAATTAGCTGATATATACTGTTGTTTTCTGAAGGTGTGTGTGTGTGTGTGTGTAGGCATCCTGCCTTTCAAATTAGCTGGTAAATACTGTTGTTTTCTGAAGGGTGTGTGTGTGTGTGTGTGTGTGTGTGTGTGTGTAGGCATCCTGCCTTTCAAATTAGCTGGTATATACTGTTGTTTTCTGAAGGGTGTGTGTGTGTGTGTGTAGAGGCATCCTGCCTTTCGAATTAGCTGGTATATACTGTTGTTTTCTGAAGGGTGTGTGTGTGTGTGTGTGTGTGTGTAGGCATCCTGCCTTTCAAATTAACCGGTGGATTTGAGGGTGGAAACAGTATCTTCTACTTATTTGATCTCCTCTCCATGGTCAGTCAACAGGAGCAGAGAATTCTGATCACAAAGATTCAGTGAGGTCACACTCTCAGGGTGAGCAGTTATGATCCTCTGGGATAATACACCCACTTAGGACAAGGTGCCATTACACACCTCCAAAGAGTAAATGTGTTTGACACTATCATCCTGATCTCTGCTACCAAACCTGTCCTAAATGTTTCCGACTCTCCCGGCTGCCCCCACAACACGGCCAGGATTTCCTGAGGACAATGGGGCTCTAGTGAAAATATAAATTGATTTGCACACAGACTTCAAAGTCAAGTCTTGGGTCCAAGCCTACATTTTCACAAGCATACCCCTCTAGAATTAAGGTTCAATATCCTCAAAAAGGTACTGATTACTCACCTTCCCCCAGCTTGGCAAAATCCTTGTTTAGCAGTTCTTCAGCTGTGAGTTTGGAGAAATTGTCGTCATCAAAGGGATTCCACGTAGAACCTTCTGAAGGATTATAAACATTTTGCTGGGAGGCCCGAGGGGAGCCTGAAGGAGTGGTGGTTGCAGACCTAGGTAGGTTCCCATCCCCACGAAATAAAAAGACACATGAAGGTTGAAAAGGGTCAATCTATTCTTGTTTCAAGATCAAATTATTTTCTAAGTCAAACCATTATTTTCCACAGTATTTTTCTAAAAGGTCTTCCTGAGGCAATGGAAGTTTCCACAGAGGCCCTTTCCACTGTGTGAAACAAACATCTCTCTTTCTTTTGTGATTCACTATCTCTCATTACTTCTTTAATCTCTCGCTTATTAGATTTTTGGCCTCATTTGCGAGTTCTTTCATTCAGGATCCTAGACCAACCTGTTGCTGGGCTCGTGCATCCTGTGGTCACCACTGTAACATTCACAACTGGCCCCAGAGAGGCTTAGGCCTATTCCCGCTGCTTCACATCTGTCAGGGTCCAGCATCAGTGGACACCATCACAGTTAAAGAGCAACAGAGACAGTTACCACCATCCTGGGCTCCTGTGTATCATTACTTAATTTCTTCTAAAGTCTCTCTTGATGCCCTTTGCATTTAGCTAATGACATAAAGATTTTTAACTTTAGTACATGGTTCCAAGAAAGTCGAGGGTTTGACACTGCATTTACGCAACAAACACTCATTGTGATCTACTTGCTGTCAGGCACAGAGCCTGTCACCAGATTTACTAAGGCTGGTTAAACCATGGTGCTTGTTACGGACAAACCTACAGGCCAGGTCAGCTAGACATACAAACAAATAATACAGTGTGATACATGCTCAAAGAGAGTTCAGACAAAATTATATATGATACCAGAGGAAGGGTCAAAGAAAAAATAACTGTGTATGTGGATCTTAATGAACAAATAAGCATTTCCTAAGTGGACCAGAAGGAGAGTGGCAGTTCTACCAGTGTGACACAATAGGCCTTGACCTATTAATCAGTCAGTTCAGATATTATTCCACAGAAAATGGGGAGTCAAGGAAATGTTATCCGCATGGAGAGATTTGGTCAGATCAAGAATTTAGGAAACACTCTACACAGTATGGGATGGATGAGAGACTGAAATAGTGAGGCAAGTAAAAAATTATTTTTTAAGATCAGTCTGATCTATGCACTACAGGAAAATTCAGTTTCTTATTAAACCCAGACACGCACCCCTATACATACATCTATACACAATTATGTACATAGCAAAAATTATACAGTAATGGCCCCCCAGCAGCCCTGGCCCACAGAAGCAGTACATACTTGGACTTATTGAGACTGGCCTCAGCTGCAGCTGCTTGGAGCAGCTGGGTTGATTTGCTGGCAGGGACCCCAAAGACTGCACTGTGGGTCACGTCGCTGAGAATTCGCCTGTGCCCAGCACGCTGGGCCTTGGGGGATGATGGAGGAGTGAGAGATCCGAGTTTCTGCCCCTGGATGGTAGGAGGTGGGGTTGTCTGAACCTTTGGCTGTTGTCTTACTGGGGCCTGAATCTGCTAGGAAGGGAGACGAAAGTGTTCAAGAAAGAGGGGAGGGGTGGGAGAGGAGAGGAAAATCAAATAAGCAGACAGGTATAACAAAAAAATGCCATGTGAGAGCTAACATATGGTTCAAATGGCACAGTTTCTCAATAACACCCAGATTGTCTAGGCTTTCTTGACAATCTGAGATGCAGCCTTGAGCCTGATACCAACAGAGTTACTTACCTGGTGTTTATATATACATTTCAGTTTTCATCAGCAATAATAAACAAGGTAACCATATGCAAGTCGACTCAAAGGCTGCAGAAGTCATTCCTAGGTCTAAAGATCTAGAAAGTTTCCTAAAGGACCACTTTCTGCTTTCAAAATTCGTTCAGAATGCCTCCAAAGGGTAGGCTTCAAGCATTCCACTACCCGAGTCACAAGCCAACAAAGGCTCACCTCCAGCTAAAACACATTTGAGCTGAATGAGTTCTGCTAAGAGATCCCTGACTTTCTGACAGAACACAGACTACGAGTTAGAAATAAGTGAGACAATTTCACTGTGATTAAGAGATGGCAGTTCTTTTTTGCTTTTGCTGTTAACACTCTGTTTCATTGACAGGATGGGTCTTGCAGGATTCTGTTTCTGCAGCGACCTCTGAGAAAATGTAAGCATGGAGGCAGTTGGATTAATCTGTTACAATCTTACTTTTGGAAATGGCACCAAAGAACAAGGTAGAGGATACAATAAGAAAAAAGTTTTAAAGCCCTTGATAATGACTGACCTAATAATATGAGATGTGGACCTTCTTAAAAAAAGAACGCAGGCAAGATGCACTGTCACCACAGAAAAACAAACTGGAGGGAACATCCTCGTTCCCATGTGGTGAGTTTTTAAGCATAAGCCATAATCTACAAAGTTCCATGTCAAGAAAATGATCAAATTAAAAAGGTTAAAGAGGAACACCTAATCTTTTCTTCCTTAACTGTCAATCCAGAGATAAAGGAATTTAAGACTATTCAATGCCTCAGGGGTTGAACTATCCCTTCCCTCCAGTCTCTCATCTCAGAGTGGAGCTGTCCCTCCATGTTGCAGGTCAGCTCCTACATTCTATGTCTCCAAAGCTTGGCCCTGGGAGAGATTCCAGAGACTAGTGTCCAGCTACTTGGGTCAGGATGCTGATAGCCTGGGGGTTTCTGTCCTTATGCTGACTCAGGCTTTCATTTTACTGAGGGAAGCTGTGTGCATGTAAGAGTACACAATCACTCACCAACTGAATGAATGAAATGATATAAGGTCCTAATATTGACCAAATTATGGTCAGAGGGTAAAGCAGCTTACTGCATCTCTGAGGGAGAAGCAAAGTGCTCTGTGAAGAAGCCCAGAGCCCCATTTTAGGACATTCATTACTCTAAAAAGGGTACTCAACTGTTGAGGCCCTTTATTTTGAAGAGTCCAAACTACTGGGAGAACACTTTCCCTTCTTCTCACTTAATCTCTGTATGCGGCACACTAGAGAACATGTGCTTCTGTCATGATGACACCTTATCCTATCACAGCTACCAATTCAAAGTGGCTACCACCCATCCACCCACATCCCACAATAGCCTTGTCTAGCAGTTTTATTTCCAATCAGAATTTCAGACTGAAGACTCAAGAGGGATCTGAAACAGCATGAATTCCAACTCCCTCATTTTAGAAATTATAAGACCAAAGACCCCTGAGGTTAAGTGCTTGCTCAAGGTCACAGGATCAATTGAGGGTAGAATCCATGCTCAGGACTCTCTTTTTTGCACAATGATGCTTCCTCATCCAAAAATGAGATTATGAAGGGGGAAGAGGGAGACATATAACACAGTGGGAGAGAAGCAGGGTAGACTCAAGATGTCTATCTTGCCAAAGATTTTTTAAAAAGCAAAATACATAACTATGAAAGAAGTATAATCACATTAAGAAATATAAGAATATAGACAAGGGAAGAAAAACCACCTCAACTTCCACTCCAATACTCAAGTACAATTGTTCTTACCTTATATTTGGTATCTTATATTTACGTCTTTTTCAAGGACAAACTCTTCCTGTAATTTCATCTCTCCTTTAGCATTATCCCATGAGCATTTCCATACTGTTGTACAGACTTTTATAACCATGACTTTTATGACTGCATAGTTAGGTCGTTGGAATGTGGAATGCTGCTTCCATGCCTGTGTTGATCATTAAGACTGCAGTAAACCCCTGTGGGATACGGCCACATCCCTGCTGTGAAAGGGCTGCACGGTACAATTTACATTCACTTACTTGCTTCTCTAGGTAAGTCCTACAAAGTCATGGGAGAAAGGGAAGGGTCAAGGCTGGGAAACTCTGGCTCCTGGCTGAAGCCTGTTCTGCTCTTGTCCCCTCTCTGTATTCTTAACCAACTTCCCCTGAACAAAGTGCTCAAGTATTTTTTCATCCAGAAAACATGGAGAAGGATCACAGTTCATTCTTAGGAAAGTGGATATTCTGTCCAGGGTCAGCAGAGAGGGTTCCCGAGAGAAGTGGACAGTCAGTGGCAGCACTGCCATTACCCTGGATGAGCCCAGCTGTTACCCTTGAACACAGATCAGGATTCTTCAATTCTTGCCCCAGCTCTGCTGCTGTTGGTCTATGTATCTCGGGTGATTCCCATTCTAGCCTGGGCCTCAGTTTCCAATTCCATTAGAGGACTGGATGAGACAAAATTTCAGCTACATGATACGACAGTTTTTTTTTAATTCTTTTCCCATCAGCAAGAGGAACTCTGTTACTTGTTAAAAATACAGAGAATGGTTGTCTACCACATGCCCGCAGGAAGATCGAGCTATTTCAGAAATGCAGGTGTAAAGACACTGAGCTGAGACTCAGAGAAGACAGTCTATTTATGGCGCTGTTTCCTTTTGAAGGGATGTAGGTTTTCTGGTTTAAGATCAGTGACAAAACTCTATTAGAAATCAATCCTTAGAAAGACAGTTTTTTACTTTTCCTTGTTCCTCTGTTGGTTGGACTTGCCTGGGAATGATAATAGCTGTGATACTCCATCAACTGGGGATATAAAATGCCCTTTACCATCACTATGAAGTTTTCTATTACCGTCACTCTGTGAGTACAGAATTAAGGACACTCATTAAAGGCCAAAGTATCATGTGCCTGAGGATATACCCGTGGAGGTGAATCAGAAGAGCGTGTAGAGGTCCTGATTCTAAACTCAGCCAATATCTAGAAGTGAACATGCCCAATTTCTAAACTGACCAGAGGGCTCAAATAATAGTCAGATGCTCTGGTGCCCAGAGGGGCATCAGGCCACAGCAAACAGTCTCAGAAAGCAGGCTCTTGAAGGTACTGCATACTTGTATGAAGTGGCCGGTAATGTCATTCAAGACAAAGAACAAGCACACACGGTCAGAACTCAGGGTAAAGGTGGGGGGCCTACATGAACCTTCTGAGACTGGCAAGGCCACAGTGGTCACACTGCCCTCTGAAGACAGGAAAGGGATTAGCTCTAACTCTACTTTGGTCTCTGACTGCTCGACACTGGCACCAGTAGACACAAAGGACAGCTCTTCCCACTGCTCTAATATTAGGGTGAGAAACGAGAAAGTTTGTCTTCTATTAGTCCCAAACTCCTAATTTATCCCTCTCCCCTCCTTTCCTCTTTGATAACCATAAGTTTGTTTCCCATGTCTGTGAGTTTATTTATGTCTTGTAAACAAGTTCACTTTCCATGAGCAACTTAGAATCATTTTTCTAAAACCTTAAGCTTCTATCGAATACTTCATCCTCTGCCTGGATACATTGGGAAAAGATCAAATATTTTAACCACCAGGGTGGGGGAGCAGCCAAGCCTTGGTCCAGCAGCTCCCTCACCAGCTGCTGCCGCCTCTTCCCCACCCTCCCCCTAGCCCTCACTGCGGGCTCCTCTTCTGGCTGACTCTCACCGCTGGCTCCTGGGCAGGGGCTGGCGGGGCTGCTGCGGCCGGCTGTGCTTGGGGCTGTGGTACGGCTGCCACTGCGGCCTTCTGCTGCAAGGCAGCCTGCTGAGTCAGCAACTGTTGTTGATGCAGGGCTGTGGCCAGCTGCTGTTGCTGCTGCTGCTGCTGCTGGTAGAAGTTCTGTATCAGCTGCTGTTGAGAGCTTCCTTGGGATACCACGGGGAACTGAGCAATCACTGGTTGCTGGGCTGCCGGATGTACTGCCTGAAACTGAGCAGGGGGAAGGGGGCCAAGAAGGAGGAGGTGAGTAAAAGCCTGTTTCAGAGCCATACTCCACAAAGGATGAAAATGCCTCAATAACAGCTAAGACCAGCACTGAAGGCAAAGGCAAGGGTAGGCAGGCGTCTTTTGGCTTGGCCGGAAAACTCATGAGGGGAACTGCAGGGCATTGCGCTTAAACACAGCACCACCTTATGCTGCCAGGCTCCGGCCACTGCACTACCTGCCTCCTGCACTGAAGACTGGCTTCCGAGGGGTTTCTGTGCCTGGCCTGAGGGCATCCATCTGACTTACACCTTGTGACTTCACATGCTGCCGTGTAACAGAAGCTAACAAATGAACTCCCACTCACAGAAGTTATCCCTCTTACAAAGGGATTTTGAAATAGCCAGGATTAAAATTCTTCCCTACATGAACTGGACGAAGCAATGATGACACTGAAGAGAATAACCTAAATGTCAGCCCAGCTAGTAAGTCCTCTCAAGCCTTTCTGAAAATTATTTCCCAATAGCTCTCTTCATTAAACTTCCTCCTTTAAACATTCAGAACACTCAGTATACTGTACTACGTAATGATATTTTGTCTCATACTGGTAGCATGGTTTCAAGTTATACTCTTTTGTAAACTTCCGAAGGATAGGAATGCTTCTCTACTCCCCACTGCTAAGGACTGTGTGTCAGACACAAAAACACAGCTTAAAAAATGGCCTACTGATGCACAAAAATCAGGATCTTATTTTTGATATCCCTATTGCTAGTTATAAAATTAACTGGGAAGACACTATTTGTCTACTGGGGCGAAGTTAAAGAGTTAGCAAAAAAGGCAGATGTCAATAAATAGCTGTTTACTTACAACAGCAAAATGCTAGAAACAACCAAATGTCTGTCAACAGGGAGTGACTGGATAAACTATGCTAGATTGCCTTAGGAACACTCTCAAGTTGTAAAGAGAAATGACAGATACCTCTCTATGGGGGATGGAAGGAAGAGAATACTGTAGATTGAAACTATGCAAATGTTTTAAATTCTCACAAAACAAAATTAAACCAAAATTACAAAGCAACAACTAAAAGCAAAACAAAGCAAACAAACTTGTATATCACATTAATAGCCAAACTTCTAGAAACTAAAACAGTTAAGAAATATTAAATAGTTTTCAGTTACCATATTGGTATTATCTTGAAAATATAAATCAATTAAGAATTATGTTAATGTTGTTAGGAATCAAGATTTCCAGATGAGACAAATACAAATATAAAATCCAAGAAGTTAAAAATCCTGTAATTACAAATCTGCTTTAGAAATATAAATTTGAATTCATGATATACATTTTATTAAGAAAAAAACCAAATACATGCCCTAACTGTTCATGGAAAAGGTCTAAAAATAATAACCAACCTATTAGCAAATGGATATCCCTAGCAAGGGAAATAGCAGGGGAAAAAGTGGAAGCAGTGACAGATTTTATTTTCTTGGGCTCCAAAATCAATGCAGATGGTGACTGCAGCCATGAAATTAAAAGACGTTTGTTCCTTGGAAGAAAAGCTATGACAAACCTAGACAGTGTATTAAAAAGCAGAGACCCTTTGCCGACAAAGATCTATACAGTGAAACCTATGGTCTTTCCTGCAGTCATGTATGGATGAGAGAGTTGGACCATAAAGAAAGTTGAGTGCTGAAGAACTGATGCTTTGAAACTGTGGTGCTGGAGAAGATTCCTGGGAGTCCTTTGAACTGCAAGGAGATCAAACCAGTCAATCCTAAAGGAAATCAACCCTGAATATTCATTGGAGGGACTGATGCTAAGGCTGAAGCTCCAATATTTTGGCCACCTTATGTGAAAAGTTGACTCACTGGAAAAGACCCTGATGCTGGGAAAGATTGAAGGCAAAAGGAGAAGGGCATGACAGAGGAGAAGATGGTTAGATAGCATCAGTGACTCAATGGACATGAGTTTGAGCAAATTCTGGGAGATACCGAAGAACAGGGAAGTCTGGCATGCTGCAGTCCATGGAGTTGCAAAGACCAGACATGACTTAGTGACTGAACAACAACAATAAAGCCCTAGAAGCAAGACTGTGGTCTCAAAATACCATTTCCATGAAAGGGAAACAGCTCTTTAGAGAAATGGCTGACTCCAAATCAAGGGCAGAATGATCTTGGAACAGCCTGTTACATCAAATAACAAAGGCACATTAAAGCTTACTGGAGTCAGAGCCAAAGGACCCAGGAGCCAATTTGAAGAGACTTTCACTGGCCAAACTTGGGACAGTTAGAACAATTTTTTTAATAGTAATATACAGAAACATATCAAATATATTGCGTTGGCCAAATAGTTCATTTGGGTTTTCCTGTAGTATCCTACAGAAAAATATGAATGAACTTTTTGGCCAACCCAATATTAAGATGCATGAATTCATAGTGATACTAAGAGCAAAACAAAATCTTCATTGTTCACCTTTGGATGGTACTAGGAACAAACTCATTATTCTGAAAACTGGTAAACACAGGGAAAGAGTCATACATTTTTTTCTGCCCTTTCTGTACAAACAGTACCTCAGGATAATCAAATACTTGATGAAAAAGTTCTTTACAGAAAAATTCCATCTCCTAAATGAAGACAAAATGCTAGAGTACTGAGAGGGTAACAGGCAGGAAGGCCAGGGGTCTCCAAAAGGAGGAAAGAGGCTGCAGGTGCCAGACATTTTTATCTCTCTTAAGCGGCAGGAAGAAACAAACCAGCAATATGTCTTTCCTTCTCTATACAAATTTAAAAGGAGGTTTCTCTTAAAATGCTGTGTTGCCATGACACCTGGTCTCACCTGAAGCTAACTACTCTCAAACCTTGAGTTAACCAATACATTTCTTTTTCATATGGAAATGTTGTCTTAAGCTATGTTAATGAACCCCAGACTCTATCTTCAAGTTGGTTCTGCCAAATGGCCTAACTTACTTACTCAGGTATTGTTCCCCTAATCTATGTAAACGAAACTATTTGTTGGTATTCTGCCCTTCTACAAGATTCAAGTCAATCGTTTTATGGCAAGGGATGAATTATCTGGTGCCATTCTAAATTTTATGACATTCCTTTCTTTTCATTAACAGACTGTGAGTGACTATATAACATACAGCTAAAGACTAGGAGGGGGGTACTCTTTTGCCCCCTTCTGATGCCTATGTCAGAAGCTTTCTCTATCTCCTTTATACTTTAATAAAACTTTATTACACAAAAGCTCTAAGCAATCCAGCCTCGTCTCTGGCCCCGGATTGAATTCGTCTCCTCCGGAGGCCAAGAATCCCGCGTCTAATCATTCAGCAACAACCTTTCAGTATCAGCACATTATAACGTCTAATGAATTAAGGGACTTAGGAAACAAACTGAAGATGAATATTAAGTGATTGGATTAGACAAGACAACACCAAATACACTGATTGATCTTAATATTAATAAAATAGAGGACAACCAAACTTTATCTGCAGTTTTGCTTTCCACAGTTTCAGGTACCCATGGTGATCAGTGATATGAAAATATTAAATGGAAAATTCCAGAAATAAGCAATCCATAAGTTTTAAATTGCATGCTGTTCTGGGCAGCGTGATGAAACCTTGCACCATCCCTTGCACCTGCCTGGGATCTCCAACCATTGACATCATCTGCTCCCGACACCCAACCATCAACATGGCTCCATGATCCAGGATCCCCAGGAAGCATATGATCCTCCTTCTGACCCATGGTTAGAAGATCAATAGTAGCCTAAAGTTATGTCACAAAGTCCATGTCATTCACCTTACCTCAGCTCATCAAGTAGGCAATTTACATTGCAAGAATATTTTGAGAGAGACTACATTCACATACTTTTTATTACAGTATATTATAATTGCTATATTTTATTATTAGCTACTATGTTAATCTCTTATTGTGCCTAATTTATAAATTAAATGTTGTCACAGGTATGTATGTATAGGAAAAAACATATTATATATCAGGCTGGTACTAGCTATGGTTTTAAGCATTCACTGCAGGTCTTAGAACGTATCCCCCACAGATAAAGTGAGACTACTCTATGTCTCCTGATGTGATGTAACCAGAAGAACAAAGAACTATGATCCTGAAGCAAATATTGAGAGGCCTCAAGAAATTACCAGTTTACACAGGGGGTGGTGGGACATATTAAACAGCACCATGGGGATGCTATCGACCAAATTCAGGATGTGGGAAATTACACAGGACAAATGACCCAGGTTCTTAAAAAAAAAAGTGGCAAAGGAGGAAAAATAAGAGGAGAAAGGCACCTATAGATAAAAGGGGACATAAAAATATATCATTAAAAAACGTGAAAAAATATACAAACCAATTTAAATTAAGACACAGGAAGAATTAAACACTACTGGATGATAAGAAATAGCTGGTTTTTTGTTTCCGTTTGAGAATGGTGTCCCGTCAGGAAAAAAGAACCAAAAGAGAGTCCTGAAAAACCAGCGCTCTTGCTGAGCCTCCTCAGTGAGGTGCAGAATTCGCCATGGCCTGAGAAGAAGGGGGGAGAGGCGCGAGTCGTGCAGTGAGGGCTCCGCTGAACCAGGCTTCGGTGTCTACCTGTGTGTGACAGTGGTGTGCCGTGGCTCTGTCTTCCCGGGGCTTCTCAAGCAAGATCCCTGCACCTAGTGGGCCTCGTCGCAGATCAAAGTGCGGGTCGGATTCACCACCTTACCTGTGGAGCCTGGGCCTGCTGCTGCGGCTGCTGGTAGAACGTGCCCGCTGGCTGCTGCGCCGGCGGCGCTGTCTGCGGAGGCTGCTGCTTGAGGAAAAGCTGCTGCTGGTGCTGGGGCGTGGCCTGGGCCTGGGCGGGCAGAGCCGGGGCCGGCGCGGAAGGCGGCTGCTGTGAGGTGGGCGGAGCCTGAGGCTGCTTGGGCTGAGACTGCGGTAGGGGTTGACTGGGTGGGGGCTGGGTTTTTGGTTGAGGAACACTGGCTAAAAGACCAGGCTGATTGCTGGATACTGCAAAGAGAATAAACTCCATATAAGGGCTCAAAACTCGAAACTCTTGCCAAAGCAATAAAGAGGGGGTGATGCGTGGACAGATAATCCCAAGATCCACGGGCTCCTCACTGTTCTTGCACCTGGAAGTCTCTTTCTTCTTCTGGCCAAACCACGTGTCTCAAACTTTTCAAAACACGGTTCATTAACAGGGTTCAAGACCTGTCTCCAGAAAGTCCTCCCTATTCGCTGTCCCATTTAATCACTTTTAGTCAGCACCCCGAAAATCTACATATCCAACTGGCCTTTGATGCTACCGTACATAAACAATCTTTGTCAGCCTGCTGCAGGACAAAAGCATTCTTTGCTGGTTTACATGCATGTATCACAACCCCAGTCTGGATGTCTGATTATTAGTAAATGCCCACCAAATTCATCAAAAGCAGCTTCCTGAAGAGTGATAGCTGTGTTCAGTTACTTATAATTTGGATCAAACGTCTTCACAAAAATAAACTCAGTCAGCTCATTACAAACAGAATGTCAAAACATGAAGAGGTGAGAGATACCTCAGGAGACATAGCATTAAAGAAATCATTTGTCTGTGTCAAAAAAAAATTTTTTTTTAAATATGAAGTACATGAAGTAGAGAGGTAGGTATGGGATGAATGGACCATGGGCTTCCCAAGTGGTGCTAGTAGTAAAGAACCCACCTGCCAATGCAGGAGATGTAAGATGGCTCAATCCCACAAAATAAGGGCCAAGACTAGAAAAAGTAGAGACAACAGGCTTCAGTGGCCTTGGAGATCCACTGCAGAACTCAGTGAGAGCCTTCCCTTTGGCTGGTCACTTAATGTACAATTTCAATGGCAGCTCACCTCCTGTTCCTCAAGGAAAACCTTTATTCCTTTTCTTTAAAAAAAAAAAAAAGATTTCTTTTTTGATGTGAACTATTTTTAAAGTCTTTATTGAATTTGTTATAATATTATTACTGTTTTATGTTTTGGATTTTTGGCTGCAAGGCATACGAATCTTAGCTCCCAGGCCAAGAATCAAACCGGCACTCCCTACATTGGAAGGTGAAGTCTTAACCAGTGGACCACCAGGAAAGTCCCAAAGTGAAAGGTGTTAGTTGATCAGTCGTGTCCAACTCTTTGCGATCCCATGGACTATAGCCCTCCGGGGTCCTCTGTCCATTGAATTCTTCAGGCAAGAATACTGGAGTGGGTAGCCATTCCCTTCTCCAGGGGATTTTCCCAACTCAGGGATCAAACCCAGGTCTCCCATTTTGCAGGCAGATTCTTTACAGTCTAAGCCACCACGGAAGTCCCAAGGAAAACCATTATTCTTTATGTGCCTCTAGATTTCATTCCAGGAAAAACTAGGTTTCCCAAGACTTCTCTACTGTCCAGGATAACAAAGAGGTGTACCACGTTTCAAACAATCTTGTTACTGACCTGCGGCCTGAGGTGGGGGCTGAACCGTGGCCCTCTTCCGAGGGGTCAGGGCTGGCTGGATGGGGAGGATTCCTGGGTTGGGCTGAGTCTGCCCAGCTTTAGGCCTCTGGCGGGGTGCAATTGACGTCTCGGTAGTGGGAATGGGATCTGTCAGTCTAGAAAAAAAGGGGGGGGGGGAAGATTCTTGTTAAAGTATGGGGAAATGGAGAAGGGGTAGATGGCGTATATAATGGATAAGCTTTCATCTCCACATTTACCGAAACCACCCAGATTCACTTAATTGACATTTCCCAAAGGATATTTCACAGGATGTTATGTGTTACTATGTGTTATGGAAAAAAAAAAAAGTGGGCAAATAAGTTTTAACATATTGATCGAGCAGATTTCTGACTAGCAGAACATTTATGTGTGAATATGCATAGAAAACCTCAAAGAGACCATTATATAGAATGCAGTGTTTCTCCAACTTTTTTGATCTTGGGACCATCTTGCCTAATAGTTAACCAGAAGTTCCTAGAATATACTTTGTGATGATGCAAAAAGGGGTTCAAAGCAGGTGGTTTTCAGATGCAGAGGGACTCAAAATTGATTAGCACTAGCTGTCAAAATGGTCTCTCAACAATAAAAAGCATCAACTGAGTTAATCCAATAAGGCAACTAGAAGGAACAAGTAAGTAGCTCAAGATAAAGGGTGTGGGGAGTCTGACAGGAACTCTACTTCTTTCAATACACATACTGTTTTTTTTTTTTTTTTCAGAGTAATAACAATTTTTAGCTGGGCATAGGGTCACCCAGAGTAAAAATCTCATTGCCCAGTCTCACATGTAATCAGGTATGGCCATGCATCTAAGTTCTGTTTATATCCCTAATGGGATACAAACAGATTGTTATGGAGAACTTTCTGGAAACTTTAAGAAACTCCATGCATTCTCTTTGTCTCTGTTCTTCTTTGGTTATTCCCTGATCCTACTGCTTGGAAGAGGGATGGCCACAACTGCCATATCAGTCCACGAGAACATGGCAACAACCACAAGGATGGTAGAGTGATGAGCTTAAAGCAGCCTGGGTACCCAAGGGCTTTGTCGAACAGAACTCTGTACCAGCCCTGGACTACTTGCCTCCAGATGTTGCTTACTTGAGAGAGAGAGAGAGAGAAAAAAGAAAAATCTACCTTATATAAGTCACTGTCATTTGTACTTTCCGGAACTCACTGCCAAACCTAATCCAAATAAGTAGAGTGTGGTCAGCTTGCTCTCTGAAATAGTGCTGCAGCCCAGGTGGTAGCTTCCCCTTATTCTGAGCAGTGCAGGCAGCTGGCTGCTACCTAACTCAGGTCACAGCAACTGTTCTTTAAAAATACACTTCTGGGAGTTATAGCTGAGATGAAGGCCAAAATGAACAAGCTTCCTTGAGTATTTCCAAAATATGTCTGGCACAGCCTCCATAAAATTCAAAATAGGAAGCCAGGCAGCTGCTTCTTCCGCATGACATACCTCCAAGACAGGGCCATTCTGGACCCTGAGGCTTTTCACTAGCTTCCTGCTCTCGTGCTGGGGGTAGAACTGGTAATACAAAAGCTACCACACTGGGGGAAGCTATAATCTGCGGAAGGAATCAGGGAGGAAAACGGGATAGATGTTGGGAAAGAGGAGAAAGGGGTATGAAAGATCAAGTCCAGGGTGAGGGAGGTAAGCAGGCTTCTGTAGAAAACCAAATGCCAAGAACTTCTGTACTGGTCTTCTAAGGGCAATACTTTGAGAATCAGTGGAATCTGTTGTCAGAGAAAACTCGACTTGAACTCTCATGCTTGTGCACAGCCGCCAACTCTTTGCAACCCGCCAGGCTCCTCTGACAACAGGATTTTTTTTTTCCATGCAAGAATGCTGGAGAAGGTTGCTACCTCCTTCTCCAGGGGATCTTCCTGACTCAGGGATCAAACCTGTATCTCCGAGCTCCCCACTATCTAACTGTGATAACAGGCTTGGCATTGAACCTCTTAGCCTGGGGTCCCTTATGTATACAGTGGGGGGTATGTGTGTGTGCTGTTACTTCAGTTGTGCCGGACTCTTTGAGACCCTATGGACTGAAGCTTGCCAGGTCCCTCTCTCCATGGGATACTCCCGGCAAAAATACTGGGTTGCCATTTCCTCCTCCAGGCATACAGTAGAGACAATAATATCTACATTATGAGGCAGATGTGAACATCAAACATATAAACAACTGTAAAACCATTCCAGAAACTGAAGAGTGCTCAAAATGTCAGTTTGTATGGACCTCAATATGTTGTAAGAAGATACAGTGTTGAAGACAGGAGCTCTGGCTCTACACTGCCCTGTGTGATCCTGGGCACACCACCGCGTGTGCAGAGGAGAGTGAGGATGCTGGAGCTGTGGGTCTTTCACTAACCACATACTGACTGACGACCTGGGCACCTGACGTACAAGTCTCACTTTCCATATCTTCACTTGTAAAGTGAGAACAGCAACAACCTCACAGATTTAAGGGCAGAAGGTCACTTGATGTATGTAAAGTACCCAGTACGGTATCTGGTGTATATGATGCCTCCATGAATAGGGGCTACTTTAAAAATAAAGTCTGAAAGAAATCCCACCTCTCAGCACTAGGGACTGAATATGATCATGGAAATGAAATCACAGCAAATTATATCTTGGGCAATTTAGACCCAAATCTCTTGGCTGTAAGAGCTGCATATTCTTTCAGCACTACTGGGGTCATACAAACTAATAGTTTGGGCATCATGGAGTTTATAAAAGTTTGACAGTCACAGGTGGATTCGATGTTCATGTCTACCTCAAGATGTAGGTATTATGTTCTCCATTTTCCACAAGAGAGTACCAGTCAAACGTCAGCGGGTGATAGAATTCTTACAAATGTATATGCTTTAGTGGGAAAGGATCTCTGTGTAGCCTCTGTACATACCATACCTGAGTCGAGTACAGGATTACCATAAGACCAAAATCAGCCCCAAAAGCAACTCCCAGAAGTGAGCACGGCAGACTCACTAAGATATAAACAGATTGCAAACTAACATCATGGAAGCAGTTAGCTAAGTTTGTTAAAAACCAGTCTTATTATTTAACAACCACATATGAAATAACCCCAGGCATTTTATAAATGTTTTTTTATAAACATAAAGAATGTATAAAAAAAGAATTTTTTAAAACACAGAAGTTTAAAACATACTATTCTCTTAAAATTCACGCATCTCCACTTAGGGTGCTTTGTTTGTTTTTGTATCATTTTATTTATTTCTGGCGGTACTGGGTCTTCGTTGCTGCTTGGGCTTTCTCTAGTTGCGGCGAGCGAGGGCTACTCTTCATAGCGGAGCGAAGGCTTCTCATTGCACTGGCTTCTCTTGTTGTGGTTCATGGGCTCTAGGGCATGTGGGCTTTGGTAGTTGAGGCTCGTGGGCCCAAGAGCACAGGCTCAGTAGTTGTGGGTGCATGGACTTAGTTGCTCCAAGGCATGTGGAATCTTCCTAGACCAGGGATCGAACCCGTGTCTCCTGCAGATTCTTTACCACTGAGCCACCAGGGAAGTCCCAATAGGGTGCTTTGTTGATACTGTTTGTGCTAAGGTGCCTTGCCATGGGAGTGTGGTAGGAAAGTGGGATATAAACAATTTCCCAGACCACCACGAGAACCTGCCGTTTGGAAGGCATGGCAGCCATGAGGATGCGCCTTGCAGACCTTCGACTACCAGGTGTAAAAGACCAAGTACCGCAGCTGAAAGCCACTAGTGCTCCTGAAATCCACTGCACTGTGTGCTCTGAGGCCATGCTTCCCAGAGGCTGCTCTCAGCCTTCACGTCCTAGCCACAAGGTTATTAAGGCAGGCCCATTCCTACAGGACAGGATTCCCCGACGACGCACCTTCCTTACGTTGTGAGGCAGGCAGTCCAGGTCACTTCGAACCAATCTTCAACTCCCCATCTCTGGGTCACTCCCTCACTGCTGGGAGGCTCTCTGATGGCGCTCCCAGCGTCCTCGGCACCCTCCCTATTTTCTCTCACAGGGGCATTTCCCCAATAAAATCTTAGCTTCTTGACTCTTCTCTTGGCAGGCTTCTTAGAATATGGATTAGTTAAGATCCACAGGCTTTTCGCTCTTCACAACTCAAATGCTTCTGACCTGTCTTTGCCCAGTATTGCTGGAGCCACAGAAAGTAAGAATTCCTGGAGATTAAGGTGGTGGACCAGGCTACGCAAAGGCCAGGACAGGAGTTTAGGACAGTCTTGTACTAGCAATGTTTAAGATCTGCTGTTGCCCTGTTCTGAATTCTCTGCACCTATTCCCAAGCAAAGAGAACAGCCACAGGGCTCTCGATTCTCTTTCGGATGTAGATCACTGTATTTTATTGTATTCCAACTGGCAGTCCCAAAGAACAGTTTCTGCCAGCAGGAGACAGAGCTTCCTTTCCCTTTCTGTACAGCCTCTGGCCATGGCAGTGGAAGAATCGTGAAACAAGAGGCACCCTCCCCTACTACTGGAGCAACAAGGAGTAGGATACTTGCTCACTCAGACATTTCTTACCTGGCCTTTGGCTGGGTCTTCTTTGCAGCTGCCTCACTGGCTTTCACTGGTTCAGGGAGCTTTGTAGGAATGGGAGAGTTCTAGAGAATTGAAAGAAAATTTTAAAAGGATATCACAGATTTTTTTAAAAATTGAGGTGTAACTGATATACATTCTATTAGTTTCAGGTATACAATATCATTGATTTGATATCTGCAAATATTGCAAAATGATCACCACAGTCTTTGTCTAGTTAATATCTATCATGTAGTTTTACAATTTTTTTTTCTGGTGATGAGAACTTTTAAGATTAACTCTCTCGGCAACCTTCAAATGCAATACAGTATTATTAAGTAAGTACAGTCATCATGCTACACATTACATCCGCAGGACTGATTTCTTTTATACCTGGAAGTTTGTCCCTTTTGACTCCCTTCTCTTATTTTGGCCCACCTCCCAAAACTTACTTTTTAAAAACAAGTTACCAATCTGAACGCTTGCAATTCTAATCCACGTTATTTAACATCATGAGTGAGAAAGTGAGACAGCGAAAGACACCACATTGTGTTAGGTTAGTGCCCAGTATCCCTTGCTTTAATCTGAGAAACCTGAACTATGGAAAACCGGTCATGAAAGTAGCCTTTAGGAGGCACCCCCATTTCATTCATGCTTTCAGGTGTGGGGGAGGGTGCTTCTGCTAGGAAATTTCTCCTCATTTCTCTCCCACCTCTCAAACATTCTTCTCCCAAGGGAGAGGGAAGCTTACTTGATTGATAAGACTGGGAGAGAAAAGGGAGTTGGCCTGGCCACCCTCCCCTCCCCCCCTTATGAAAGAACACGTCCCTCAGGAATCAGGGACACTGCTCAATCATGTAGAGCTAATGATAGGGAGGCTCACTGGTCAAGCAACATTCTTTGATTCAGTTTTATTAGTAATGAAGCCAATACGCTGAGCTCCATCTGAATGATTCCCACATCTGATTCCAAATGTGGCAGTGAAGGACAAGTGTCATTTATCAGCACCTTCAAACCCCAGTAGTGACATCAGAAGTTCATCAATGGAGAAACTAGTAGACAATTTCCAAGCAGAAATTATTTATTACAGTGTCTATTAGTAAAATACTCAAGAAAGCTGGATCATACTATGACATGAAAAATATACCAAGTCTGTCAAAAGCATGCCTGCAAGCACTGTACTCAAAAAACTGAGTGTCAGTTTAGGATGACTAGGAGCAGAAAACCTTCTGAGGGCCACAAAGTGTGTGGGGAGGGCAGAAGAAAAGGAGTGTAGGTTACAGACCGGTCAGCAACAGAAGCAAAATCAGGAAAGCTCCGCTACAACGAAGGAGAAAGGGACAACGGGCTCACGTTGCACCAAGCGCAGGGCAAGTCCAGGGCCTTACCTTTGGGAAGCAGCCTGCCTAACCTCCTCTAGGTAAACACACAGGCCAGTGACTCAGGGAACTGAGACTGCTGATGCGTTAAGGCTGGTCAATCTTCACCCAAAGTGTCCAACTCAATTCCTAGGGTGCTTGGGTGTATGTAGGTGTAATTACCTCAGTTTTATAATTAAATTCTATGGGAAAATTGGATTCTATTTATAGCAACTGCTTCATAGTTAGCTTTGTTTGAATGCCCCTTACTAAAGCAAGGAACACTTACATTCATTTTAAACAGCTGACTAATACCCCAGGAACACTAAAGGACAATTCAATCATGTTTACTTCCCCTAAAAAGTACCTCTCACATACCTGTACATTTGGAATTGGGCATTCTTTCTTGAGTAGTTTAAATGAGAAGTAGGAAACCTGGTAAATATCCGGTCTTTTGTCAGGGTCTGGTTCCAACATATACCCTAAGATAAACATACATGAACTTGTTTAATGATACCCAAAGAGTTATTACAGTAGCTAAGAGGCATAATTTCTCTATTACCAAAATTCTGTTGTTTTAAAATTACTTCTCAGAAAAGTAAGAGAGGGCAATTAGCCCTCTGCCTCCCCTCTCAGAAAGGGAAGCGCTGACTTTCCTAAAAATATCCGCAAGAAAATAATGCTTTTGAATTGTAACAAAAATACTTTAAGTTAAAGTTCTGTGCACTGCACAACAGGGACTCAAGTTCTCAATGTGGAAGTTAACATTCATCTTCTGGTTCCTAGGAAATTCTGGCCTCCTTTCATACTGTCAGCTAGACAAATGACTGTTCTTTTTTTTTTTTTCAAATGACTGTTCTTAATAATTATAACGTAAACTCAAATTTCAAGAGTTTACTTATTATTCTTTTGTTGGAGGTATTAGCTGGTTTTCCATCTAAAAGAAATTGCAAGATAACAATACATCTCTACTTTTACCGTGATCTATAGATCACGTGTCTGTCTCCAGTCCTTTAAGCTTTTGCCCTTTCTGAAGCTTGAAAAATCCCCCAGGCAAAAAAAAAAGTATTGAGAAGATATACACACACATACACATACAAACAGCAATGTAAGGCAATGCATTGCTTAAGTAATCAAATGAGTGGTTTGGACACTAAGTTGAGAAAAGACTGATGAGGCTGCGTCCTGGTGAAGGGCTCTGCAGAAGAGGCAGGAGCTGAGCTGGTCCTTGAAGACAGGAAAAAATTTAGTGAGTCAGGGGAAACACAGAAAAAAAGAATTCCAGGTAAGAAAACAGTCTGAGCAAAAATGGACTGGGAGAAAGGCAAGAGAACGCTTTGCTGCAAGGACTAGATGAGCCAAGAGGACAGGGCAGAGGCTTCCTCGTCAGAGAATAAAGGGAAATAAGGTGGGGAGAATGCAACCAGAATATGTGGGACCATTGGCAAGCATGAGGTTTACTGAATAGGGATGTGACAGGGTGACATTTTATAAGATTAATCTCATAGTGAGGTGCACTGGACAGATGGGAGGAGGGGAGAGGCTGGTAGCCAGTTTACCAGTACACGCATGAGCTGACAAGGTTGGAATGTATTATGGTGGCAGTGATGAGAACAGAGAGAATGTCATGAAAACAGGAGAAACTTCAAAGAAAGCATGAGTGCCACTTAGGAAATGAATGACTCTCTTTTTTTCTTGCTGGCCAGATCCAAAGAAAATGTCACATTTCAGTCATCGAGGCTTGAATGGTGACACCCCTGACAGAAACTGAAAAGAGGGGGAACCTTGTGCTGGAAATAAAAGGGTACGGAGTGGGGAATGATGGAAATGTACTTTTAGACATATGAGTTAGGATGACAGTGGACTCTTCCAAAAGTTTGTAAAGTGAAATAGATCAGAGTGTAGGAAAGATGCCATAGTATACACATTCATAAACAGTTGTTTTTCCTAATACAAATTTGTTTCACAGAAGTAAAAAAAAAAAATTATCAAAAAATACTATCATTCTAGCAACAAATTTCGCCATTTTCCCATATTTCTTTCCAAGCTCATTTATATAGCTGCCATTGTAGCACAGATATAATGCTTTACCCCTGAAAACAATCCAACAACCATTAAATACCATACTCCATTTCTTCAAATATTGCCCTACTCTTGTATTAATAAACAGAAGAGATTAATTGATAAAACTGGTATAATGGAACAGGTGGTCACTTAGAAGCTAAAACTATCTTAACTTGTGTACAATACCTATACTTGTTAAGGTGCTGTTTCCTTGTTTGTATAATAGCTATAATTATATTTACTATATAGGGTTTTAAGAATTAAATGAGGTACAAGTAGGCCTTCAACAAATGTCAGATGCTCCACTCACACTGGCTTCGTCTATTTTCTCCAGCGCATCCCCATTTAGGATTTACAGTCTGTGACTGTTAAAATATAGATACTGAACGTCTTGACCAAAGTAAAAATATAACAAAAATCTGTTACTTCAGCATTCCAGTACAGGGGTTTGAGTAAAGATTACTTACTCTGCCATCTTATTAATGAACATTAGTTCATATGCTTACTATGAAGATACAAAAGAATGAAGAATCTTAAAATCTTTTAAAACATTGAGTTTAAATGCTTCTTATCAAAATCCAGTGATGAACCTAAATGAGAGGAAAAAACTAGTTCCACTGAGGTATAGTCTCAATTATGAATTCACTTCAGCCAATGCATTGCCATCATTTTAATTTGAGTTGCTTCCAGTTTTGCAAAGATAAATTTCTTATCACTTGATCTGAGTCAGCTGGACTCCTTTGATACCGGAGCTTTCATACAGACTCCAAGAGAGCAGAGCAATGTTTTGCAATGCTCAAAGCCCAGTAAGGATTTCTGCTTGGGTGGCCAGCCCAGGTGTGAAACCAAGTGGCAAAAAGATTCATAACTCTAACTCAACACTGTTACATGATCTTTGAGCAACCAACCATTATCAATTGATTTATTTTTCCACCCAACTCATCACTCCTGGAATCTAACCCCTTTATCTTCCATTCCATTTCTAGAGATCAGAAGTAAAAATATGAAACCAGAACCTTAAAATACTTACTAATTAGGCAGTGCATGTCTTGGGAATATCGAGAGTTATCAGGAATTGTGAAGTTTCCATCACAAATTGCCACTTGACTCTCCCCAAATGGCAAAGTGAAGTAACATAATTTATACAACAAACATCCCAGAGCCTGAAAAATAAGAGAAGAGGAGTGCTACTAGAGGTTTATTTACCATAATTGAAAATGGGACTACTGAGAGATACTGGCACCATCCACATTTACTAGCCGATCTAAACACTAGGCATTATTAACCTATTCGAAACTTGAATTTAGAATCCAACATCACTATTTACCTGTCAGATTATTTCTACCATCATTACCCATTTGTGCTTCAAAAGAGAACAAGTATTCCGCTGGTTCTGCCCTTAAGAACTAGTAACACATGTGAAAACCACCTAAGTAATGGGCAGGTGACCTGAATAACTTTCCCAGAGGTCTGAAGTCATTGTCTTTGACAGGCTTCAAGAAGCAGTGGCTGATCACCTCGAGGCAAGAATAACCCTGAGGGGTAAGTAGGCAGGGATGCGGTACAGTGGCCACTCTGGCTACGGCACTGTCTGGATGAGGCTGGGGAGTTTACAGCCAAGACTACTGACATCTGAGATGCGGATAGGTTAGTTGACACCTACCCAAATGTCTGCCTTCGTAGTGATGACCTTGCCACTGTACAGGTTGACCATCTCTGGTGCGCGATAGGACAGCGTTGTGTACCTACAATCAAGAGATTAATTTTTTGTTAAATATGTCAGTGCTATAATTTAAAACCAGGGGTAGCAGAATACTTTTTAAAAAATATATGTATTAGTAGAGTCAAGTTCCCTGGGAGCACTCGGGAGAAGACAGCACGGGACGTTGAGTGCAGGTGGAATGAAGAGCTGTCATGGCACACACCACGCCCTCAGGCCGCCGTCTTCCCTCTCTAAGACAGGTGGATGCAGACACTAAGGCTTTAAGTAAACCCTAAAGGCAACTTTCCATGGGTCCCTAAATAACAAAACTGTCTCCTATAAATCCTTATTGTCTGACACTATATTTGGCTGGTTTGTTTTTTAAAATACACAGTAATCTCCTTAGATGCGACTCGACACAGAGATGTGACACTGGCTGGGACACTCAGGATAGAAAATGGGCCCTGGCTAGGCAGGAAGTGGGCCCGGAGATGGATGGATCTTTGCTGATGGAATAGGGCTGAGAGAATAGCTTTCTCTCTTCTCTGGCTCAAGAAAAGAGAAGTGGAAGTTTATCTTCAAAGTGAGAGTTAGTGATAACAAGCCTGCAATTTGTGCTGCTTGAGCCTCGAGCCCAGAGGGCTCTGTGGCTTAGATGCCCATCAGGGCCTTGGACCAGAAGTCCTCCTGCCCCAGGCTGGGTTGCCAAAGGTGAAGCAGGAAAGGATCAGGATACCGGCACACTCTACACTGCTGATTTGTTAGCAGTAATGGTCAGTGCTGCTGCCTCGGAAAAATCTAACACTCTGGACAACAGGGGAAAACGGCCCAAGTTCTTACTGGAGTAACAAATCTAAAGAAGCTGTTTCTCATGGAAGTCAGTGATTCAATGTCTGTAGAGACTTTAATAGCCCTACTCACCATTAATTCCACTAAATTGCAGGTTAGCTCCTATGAGCAGGAAGAAATAAACACCAATTTAGGGTTCAGTAAAAAGCACAACCAACTGACTGGTAATATCACAGCTGCTGTGATCCCACTGAAAGACATCACGTACTTCCATGGTGTGTGCACCTTTTTAAGGGCTCTGGGATGAAAATAAAAAGATCTATGTACCATAGGACCATTGATAAAGTGCTATAAAATTCCTTCGTTTTACTCCACTGATCAATGATTGTGAATCCCCTCCCTATCCTCCACCTAAAAATCAAACAACCCAACCACCAATTTGATGTTCTGAGATGAGGAGCAACTGACTGGCACCACTGTCTTTTCACCCTGACCCTCTCAATCATAAGTTGAAAGTAAAACTGCTGATCCGATCATGGATAAAACTCCGAGAAAGGAGGAAAAGCTTACTTCTTAATCTCATCTTCTACTGCATTGACTCCCTCCGTCTGTGGATTCTGGAATTTGTTGGTAGCACTTCCAAAGTCACACAGGACATAGTGGCCTCGGTCATGCAAGAGAATATTCTCAACCTGAAAAACATTGTGCAACCGCCCATTCCAAGATATCATTTAATACTGGTTTGAAAATTTGGTGTACATTACACATAAAGGTTTTATTTCTGATAATCTCATTAATGTGCATAGGAAAGTTATTCTCCTCCAAGTATATCAACAGGGGTCATTCCAAGTGAAATATAAAAAGATGCACAGTAACAGGGGAAAATCAGAGTGGGAGGCAGAGTGCTGAAGAGGAAATTCCACAGTGGGAAAGCAAAGAGTTCCATTTTTCTAGATTTCTAGCCATACTTCTCATCTTTGCAGAAACAGTCCTCCTACAGTACTTTCAAGACTGTATCTTTTCTCCTGCCTTTTTTTCAGTCTAGAGTGCTTCCGATGATTACCAGCTCCTTACCCAACTATCAAAATCCCATTCATCTTTCAAAAGTGAAAGGGAAACTGTTAGTAGCTCAGTCGTGATTGACTCTGCGACCCCATCGATTAAAAGCCCACCAAGCTCCTCTGTCCATGGGATTCTCCAGGCAAGAATATGGGAGTGGGTAGCAATCCCCTTCTCCAGGGGATCTTCCTAACCCAGGGATTGAACCTGGGTCTCCCACATTGCAGACAGATTGTTTACTGTCTGAACCACTCTAGTTCAAATGCCATTTCTTCCTTGAAGCCGTGCTCAGAAAAATGTCAGCCTTTCCCTACATTCCTTCAGTACTTGGTTCTTCCTGGTATCAGTGATTTCATTCAGACCTTCTAAATATACAGATCAGTTTCTTTACCATGGTAGGTTAGGATTTTCTGAACTAATAAATATTTCCTATATTTTAGTTATTTCTCAAAGTGATTAAAGGCCTGTGGGCAAATGCATAGTTCTCAAAGTACCATCCTTCTATTTTTGTAGGTGTATTCTCTGGGCAGTGAGTTAGGAGTTCTGGGTAGGAGTGAGCTTCCAAAGACCAGAATCTAGAGAAATTCTTGGTGTCAAAGGAGTCTACCAAAGATATAACAACTCCAAAACATGGGCACTACTGTACTCAAGGTGCATTAATTTTTGGCAGAGGTGAACTGAGCTGACTGGTGTGCTGGAGGACAGACCTGGCTATGTGTGGGCAGTAAAATGGTAGCCAAAAAAATCTTGTTAGGTCAATAAATTATCTTTTGTCTTCAGCCTTCCGAAGACTGATCGCCTTTGGAAAACAAAGGTAAGAGTAGACTAGAAGCTCCTTAAGGACAAGCAAAGAGACTTGTCATCTTCTCTACCAATGCCTAACATAGTGCGTGGAATAGAAAATGTTTGTTGAATGGAATCAGCTGAAAAGGGGAAATATACATGACACTGTGTGTGTGTGTGTGTTTGTGTGTGTGTGTGTGAGAGAGAGAGAGACAGAGAGAGGCTATCGGAAATAAGACAGAAGCCACCAAATACCCAGGACCCTACTACTAATAGTTCTTTTAAAAATATCTTGTCAATTATGATGTCTCTTGTTTCTATACTTTCGTTTAATTTTTCTAGGATTATATATTATAAAAATGTTTATAGTCTGCATTTTATAAATATAATACCTAAAGTCTTTGAAAACTGACTCTACAGTTTATTATTCCTTATTCCAACTGAGTATCACTCACGATATATTATTGTGAGAGGTTTTGTCATTGTTGTTGTTAATTTGTGTTCCTTGGAATTCATCTGTGGGAAGCCTTAAGAGGCCTGAGTTTAAGGTCTATTATTCCTCCAGGAATAACATACTTCTGCACCTAGGGAACTAATAACCTACAATCACTTTACAAAACTGTAGGCACTACAGTTTTGACCTTGGGGTTTTTAGCCACCCAAGCAGTGTGAACTATGACCATAAACTTGGGTGGATATGCTCTTGTGGTTAAGAATTCTTAGGAGAGACTTGTTCCCCAAAGACAAGACTGAATCAGGCAAATATTTCTACCATCTACAGCTTTTTATAATGCTCATCAGATTAATCTATTTATACAAAGTGAAACAGTCAAGCTATCCTGAACATATACTCACTTCAGGAATCTAAAATAATTCCAACAAGGCAACACTAATATTTCCAATGGAATTTAGAGGTTTTAAAAAGAAAGCTACTATTTACTGATTGTCTCATCACTTTACATGGATTATCTCATTCAGTCCTTACAGTAACAATATAATAACAATCCCCATTATACAGACATAGAAAATGAGGCTCACAGTGATTAAGCAAGGAAATGCACCTAGGCAATCTAACTCTAGAGAAGGACAGGTAATTGCCCTTCTGCCAGGGCAGGAGGCAGAATAATTACTCAAAGCCCCCCCCCCATTTCCACCCTCCTACCTGGTAGGGATGACTACGCTCACCCAATGTCCTGGATACAAGCGTAAGGACGGGGTTTCTTAATTCTTTAAGTTCAGAAATGCCCCTATAATAGGAATCCAGTCAATGAGAAACCAAATGTCCAAACAACAGTCAGGCTGATTTGCTCAATGTTTCCTAAGCATTTCCTACAATGACTAGTTTGTCTTTTTATTCAATTGCTCCCTCTCTGCTAGTCAACTCCTAGCCATTCTTCAAGGCCTTGCTCAAGTCAAAGTCCTCAGGAAAACACTCCCTGGCCACCCTACAAAAATTTACAGAACTTACCGCTAGAAAGGATTGACAAAGTGAGACCTGGCCAAACCAAGCCATGCCCATAGGTTACTTGGCCTCTTGTCTATGGCTGTTTTTGCGCTCCAACAGCAGGGTCAAGCAGTTGAGACAGAGCCTATACAGCTGACGAGCCTAAAAATTTATTCTTTGGCCCTTTGAAGAGAAATCGACACCTCTGGTCTATAATTATATTCTGCCCATGTGTCCCTTACAATACCCAGCCCAATATTTTACACACATAAGGGACCTCTAACTCCTTTATTCAGTGTCTGCCGGCAACAACCCTCCTTGCTGGCCTCTGCCACCCTACAGGGATCATGTGAAACCATGCTTCTCCTACTGGATGTGAGTAGTCCCTTCCCAAATCAAATGCTATACTTCTAATCCTAGAATATACAATCTAGAAAATGGAACAGTCAACTCATATCAAAACACAAACAAGGGCATTCCAGGGACCAGAATCAGTGTTGGGAGGGTAGACAATGGACAGAATAAAGAGGATGCACAACGAGGTTTTGTTTTGTTTTCTACCCAGACCTTAAAAACCTGGTTTGTATTTCTGGTTAGTTTGACTGACGGAACTCAGGAATTATGCTACATTTAACCTGGTCCCCACCCTGCCTCCCTCCCTCCCACAAAGATGCCACTGTATAGAACTATATTCATAGGAAAACCAGTTAGAAATTAAGGGTGTGTTCAAAAACAGACAAGAGAACCAGAGATATCAATGGAGTGAAAGCCTGAGAAATATCAAAGAACTATCGATGCAGATGAGAACAGTAATTCCTGCTTCGGCCACCGTGAAATTCTGTGGGGAGGATCAGGTGAGATTACTACAGAGGTGAAATCGCCTGGCAGCAGCCACAGCTCCGCCCCCTCGCCGTCTGTCTCTGTGACCTGTGACACCAGTGACAACCTCCAAACGCAGGCGGCTGCTGCCCTCCATCATCACCAGCACCGTCACTAACAAAACACTTAGCACAGAGCACAATGTGCGGCAACCACGTTGGACTTGGGGTTCAGAAGACCTTGGGGACTATTTCAGATGTTTGGCCTTGAATAAACCTTTAAACCTCTTTGGGCAGGTTTCTTATCTGTAAAGTAAAGCTGGTAATAATTCTATTACTGTTCTTAAGAAACAAGGAAGAGAATGACCATGAAAGCACACTATAAGTCTCCCTGTGCACATGTAAGATCATTCCTTTATTAGAGAAATACATTTGAATTCCTACTACCACCTATTAGGTGCCAAGTACTTTTCTAAATTCTGCAAATAAGGCTGTGACTGGAGCTTAGGGTCCAGCTGATGATTAAAAAAAAAAAAGTATAATTGCCTGGTACTGATAAATATTGCGGAAAAAAACCTCAGCAGCTTAAATATATGTCAGTTAAGATGAATGCCACTGTAAACAGCACATTCAGGCAAGGTCACTCTTGTGAGGGGAGCCACCATGAACAATCTGGGGGATGAGCATTCTCATTAGAGATCGGCCAGCAGGAAGGCGCAGTGGTGAGAGCACCTGTAGGGAGACTGAAGGAGACTGAAGCAGAGACAGGCCTCTGTGGCTGGGGCAGCACTGTCCTGGGGATTGGAAAACTAAAAACATGGGACCAGACATACAATGGGCTAGCACTCTCATGAATGAGGAGACAAGATAAAGCTGGGCCTTGAAGAAAGTGCAAGACGCAGGTTAAGTGGAACCAAGAACAGGAAGGCATGGGGGGATGAGAGTAACAAAATGGTGTCAGCAGCTGGCAGCACTTACTACGTGGGGCCCAACGCTGCCCCACGTATTTCATGACATTCTTCCAAGGCCTCACTGTCCCGCCTGACACGTGAGAGGACGGAGTGTAGGCAGAGGTCACAAGGCTGCGAGGGCACTTGGGCTCAGGCTGCCACACCGCAGGGACTGCACCCTCCCTGGCTGCACTGACATGACAGAAGGGAGACAATGAGGGCAGGTACGACTGTCCAAGTGTGAGACGACCGGGGCCGAGAGGGATTCAGTGAGGAAGGGCGACAACCAAATGGAGGGTCATACACCGGCGTCTGGAAGCTTCAGAGAACCTGCGTGGTGACTTTGTTTGTGGCCATGTCCTTTAGGAAGTCAGGTGAACACTGGTTACCGTTGCTCACAACCTCCCATCTAGAAGCTTGTTGAGCGTTTAAGCTACTGACCTTATTCCACAATCAGCCTGAGAGGATTATTAAAGCTGTCACTCCTGAACTCTGCTCACAGCTTCAAATAAAACATCTAGAAAGCCACCTCCTCCTGACCTCTTCATCTTGATATCCCAAACAAAACAGCATCCAGGCATTTCTGCAACAGAGTTTATTACCACTGGAAATTGTGGAGCATTCGGTGAATGCTGGTTTTCCAACCTGTGATTCCAAAAATAGGACAAGAATCTTCATCTTATTGTACTTCATGAGACCCAAAATCTCATTTCTGACAGATGAGAAGACATTCAAGACTTTTTCAACCTAGAATGTACTTACTAAGGCCTAACCTTTTATCCCCTTTCTTAAATGCTTGGGCAAACAGCATGGTAAAATATAGCAAAAACCAAACAAACAGAAACCACCTTGAGGATCAAAAACCTTGGCCTTTGTTCTGGTCTGATCAATGAGTTTGCTGTGCAGGTCACAGCCTTTCTGAGCAGAGGATTCCCTGTTGGTAAAAGGAAAGCACTGACTTATGTGACCTTCCCGGGAACACAATTCTATTATTTGCAATGAAGATCTCTATCAATCCTCAGAGAGACAATTTAAAACAGGGAGGAAATAATGAAAATGTAAAATAATGTATTTGAGGAGAAACATTCAGGAAAGACCAGAACTTCTGTTTCGGTTATTTTTTAGAACACACGCTGCTGAAGGACAGGGACTGCTATCAGCTTATTTCCTTTCTGGAATTTGAAAGAAAGACCACACACGTGGTGGGCAGGGCAAGAGGGGCCTTCTCAGTTCCCCACAGGGTGGCACTGGCTCAGCAGGGGGGTCCACAGTTCACCTGCTCTGTGCTCCTTCCTGTGTCCCATGGACTTACTCCCAAGGGCGCCTCCTCATCACGTGGAAACTCGGGTCACACAGAAGCAACCGAGAGACTGGCCACAGGCACGTTCTCTGACCAAGAGGAGAAGAAAGAACTCCTTGGCTCTGGACACTGCGTGGTAGGGAGTGCAGACTGGCCAAGGCCTTGTGACGCAATGACAGAGCCAGGGCAACAGGAGGTCCAGGGGACTTCTCACTCCTGCCTAGGAAGCTGGCACTGCAGCAGGCAGATGTGACTGCCCGCCAAGCACACAGTAGTAGAAATCAACAGAATCTAACAGGCCAGCAAAAGCATCTAGATGGCACTTAGATTTGGGGAGTTTGGGAAAGCATTATCAAAAAAAAAAAAAAAAAAACCACAGGAGTCAATGACTAAAATCAACAGCAACAGGACTCCTCTAGAACAATCACAGGGTGTCCTTCCAGGGGCCCCTATGTACGTTTTGTTTCCAGTGTCAAGGAGAAGAGGAAACAAAGTCTCCTGAACCACAAGTGGCAAACCAGCGGCATACTTGGTGGTCTTCAATACTGACTGAACGCAATTACTGCGTTCCTAGCCCCGAGTGATGGGTGATGGAGGGGCAAGGGCCAGGGCCTAAGGCAGGCTGGGAAGAGAGTAAAGCAGCCACTCACTCATGGCCCGGCCTCACCCTCAGATTCCAGTGTGCTCCCACGTCCCCTGGTGAGACATCTCACAGGCTGTTCAGAGCAGCGAGGGAAGAGCCTGGGCTCTGGCTGCTTGAGACCAACCACCTACCGTGTCACCAGGCAGGATGCTGAACTCTGCCTCAGGTTCCTGTCATGGGCGACCTTCTCCACTACCTCAAAGCAGCACCACGGGGCACTCATATACCGGCCACCCGGAAATTGGCCAGGTGCTATTTATGGGTGTGAAGTGATGATCATTGAGGCCTTGTTTAGTCCAATAAATGTTGAAAAACTGACAATGAAGGAAGACTTTGTTTAAAAATGTACAAGCAGCACTCTCTAAAACAATGCTCTGTGGTCCTCTTGGCCTCTTCTTTGCTCTCACCTTCCTAGGTGTCCGCTCAGAATTTTCTGAGCCAAGGATGTGCCCGCTCACTGACTCACATGTTCTCCTGTAGCCCCATCTGGGCCCTAACAAGGCCGGTGCTGTTGTCTCCGCTGCACAGAGGAAGCTGAGGCTCTGAGGCCAAGTGATGGGAGGAGCAACCCAGGAGCCTGAGGGTCCAGGAGAACATGAGGTCAGGGAAAAGTCACAAAGGAGTCAAAGACTACAGGGAGGAGAGCAAGACGGGGATGGAAACGGGAGGAGAACAAGTCGGAGATGGAAACACGTCCTGTACATCTGGAAATATGAAGGATGCTTATCACTCACAGAGCTTACAACTCGGTCGGTACCAGTTACATGGCTACAGAACCAGAGTTCTCACATGAAATCGAATCCCATCTGACATGGAGGGGTGGAATGGGACTCCAGAGGGATCTGAGCTCATACAGGTCACAGAAGCAGTGCTGATACAGCCAGGCCACACTTCTCCAACCCTTTTCTTGGCCCCTTGCAAACTCTTCTTCAAGACATGTGGCAGGGACAAAGATCAGGTCCTAAAATGTTGGTACCATTGCTTATTTTGAAATATACACTAAGAGGCCCAAGAATTTCACTCAATGTTAAGACAACTAGGAAAAAAGAGTCATCACCTGAAACTAACACAACACTGTAAATCAAGTGTATTTAAAAAAAAAAAGGAGTGTCATTACATTCTTAGAGCAGTGGCCTGCAGTCACTCTGGCCTGCTCTGTAACTAGCCAGGTACCAGGCCCTTACCCACCTCCTCATCTTCAAACACCTTCTTGTTCCCTCCCCTCGGCAGTCCTTAGGCCCTACTCTCTAGCTGAAATACTCTTCACAGCCTCTCTGTGACCACCCGTATCTCACCAGTCCTTCAAAATTCAACCTTTCCAGAAGATCCCAATCACCACTGCCAGATCCCATTATCCGACCACATACTAAGAGACTTGAGCCTCTTCACCACTTTGTTCTATAGAGTTTTGCATTTCATTTCTTTAAGTTTCAGTTTCAAATATTTCACTTATATGCTCTCACCAATACTTTTACATCATGAGCATAGGGACCATGTTGTATCTGCACTATCTGCACAGAATTATGTTTTGTATGATGTGAGGCTCACAATATTCACGGATGTATACTTGTTCTGCTCAGAAAAGGGGCTGTCTGTGAGCAGAGGTACACTGGAGAAGGCTGTCTAAGGCATTTGGAGACTTTGCACTCAATAGGACAGAAAAATAAAATGGGGAAAAAAACATGTGTTAGTGTCAAGAAATTGGAATCTTGTAAGTTGCTGGCAAGATGTAAAATAGTGCAGTTCCTTTGGAAAATAGGCTGGCAGTTCCTCAAAAAGTTAGAGTAACCATATGACCCAGCAATTCCTCTCCACGGTGTGTACCCAAGAGAACTGAAACTATGCACTCATGTGAAACCTAGTACATGAATGTTCACAATAGCCTGAGTCATAATAGCTACAGCAGAAACAATTCAGATGTCCACTAACTGAGTAATTAACAAAATGTGATATGTCTGCACAATGGGACGTTATCACAAAAAGAATGCAGTACTGATATATGCTACAATATACATGAACCTTGAAAACACTGCTTGTGAAAGAGGTCACATACCATACAAGCCCATTTAGATGAAATGTCTGGAATAAGCCAACAGAAAGTAGACTGGTGGTTGGCAGGGCTAAGGGAAGAATGAGAAGTGACCCCTAATGGGTACAGGCTTTTGAAGGTGGTGGTGATGAAATTTTTTTATTTTTTGGTGATGAAATTTTTGATGAAGCTTTTGGGGTGGTAGTGAAGGGAGATGAAATTTTCTGAAATTAGACAATGGTAATGGTTGCACACCCTTGTAAATATATTAAAACCCACCAACGTGTACATTCTAAAGGAGTAAATTTTATGGTATGTGAACTATATCTTAATTAAAACAAACTAAAAAACATCATCATAACAGAAAAGCTAGCATGCTACTGTGATCCTCAAACTTTAAAATAGACAAAAACCACCTGGGGTGCCTAAGATAAAAACTCCCAGGCTTCCCTGGTACCAACACAAACACTGTGGCCCAAAAGATTCAGTGAGGAACCCAGCACCTGCATTTAACAAGCATAGTAGAGGACGCTGATGTAAATATTAGCCGTGAAGCATGTTTCTTGAAACGTAAGTATAATCAAAAGAAATTGCAATTTAGAATTAGAAGAGCTGGATTCAAATTCTGGTACTGTTCCTTCCTAGTTATATGACCTTAGTTAAGTCACATAACCTCTCTGCTCCTAAGTTTCACTGACCATAAAATGTAAAGAAGAAAGTCTCTTACCCAAGAGACAGTGCACATACAGTGTCTTACAGAGTACACGGCACATAGTCAGTGTTCTAAAGACCAGTGAATCCTAACCAGGTGCCAAATCCATTCAACAAACATTGTCAAGTGATTACAGCTTAAAAGGTCCAGTGCAAGGGAATAGTAATTAGCAGGACAAAATTTTTAAATTATCAATTAATGGATTTTATAAAATATAAAATAGACTTTAAAGACTAGACACTGCTGTTTACAAACTTTAAATTAGCATATTACTCTTCATGACCCTAAAAAAGTGAATTTGGGAGCTTATTAGGAAAAACAACAAAGATGTGTTCAGGCATTTGATGATTATAAAGAACTTCTGAAAGCTACTTAAGAATAAAATTGATACTGTATTGTACTGTATGAGCATGCATGCTAATCTGCTTTAGTTGGGTCTGACTCTTTGTCACCCTATGGACCATAGCCCCTCAGGCTCCTCTGTCCATGGGATTCTCTAGGCAAGAGTACTGAAGTGGGTTGCCAGGTCCTCCTCCAGGGGATCTTCCCCACCCAGGGATCCAACTTGCACCTCTTATGTCTCCTGCATTGGCAGGCGGGTTCTTTACCACCAGTACTATTTGGGAAGCTGTATTATACTGTACTGTTCTGCTATTTATTTTTTTCTCTGTGCTTTCTCTCCCCAAGCAGAATGTAAACTCATAATTTGGTACCAAGCCTGATGCTTTTCCCATACCCCCATAACATTTACCCCACTCCTGGAGCAGGTAGAAAATACCCCATAAGAAAGCTTCAGGATGATCTGTTACCTTCAGGTCACGGTGGATAATAGGAGTTTTGCACTGATGCAGGCGGGCGACAGCTTCACAGGTGTCACAAAATATCTGGAGTACTTCATTTTCTGTAAAACCTGTTTGCAGGCGCTGGTTCATCAGGTTGACCACTTGGCCTCCTGAAAGGGGTGCAGAGCAGAGGAAAGGTAATAAACATTCAGCCCCTTCACTTATTCAAGAGAATGAATGGCTGTCCACAGAGGAGCAACCTGGATTCGGCTAATTACTGGCTGACCAGGATTAAACCCCAGTATCTTGATTCCCAGCCTGTGACCTGTTTCCTACTGCTTCAAAACAGTTTCTTCATTTTATAAAGCAGCTCAGATGTGAGTTGCCCTCATTCTGTCTTCAAGATTAGCAGCAGAACTGACAACATGGTCCTGGCTCTGGTTGCCTGGTTATACTGTCCCTGTTGTGCATCAGATGGGGCCACAGGTTCAACTTGCTGTATCTTTTAGTAAGAATCAGATTGCACAACAGACCCCAGGAGGAGGAAGAAGACAGTTTGATAGCCTGTATTTTAGGAACAGCTTGGTCTCTCTGGCTTTACTGCCTGCTGCCTGGTCTGCAGAAATGCTACATCAACACTTAATCCCTAGGGCTGAAAGACTGATGACCTCGCTTAGAAAATTACCCAGCTCCCTGGATTCTCCTACTGCCTCATCTGTGAACATTTAACTGTCCAAAAAGGAATGGGCAGGAGGAAACAATGTGGTACTATTTCATAAAGTCAGGGTAACAGCTGTTATAGTAAAAGCTGAAATTACTGGTTAGTATCATGTTTTTAGGATTAGCAACATATTTAATTTATGGACAGTGTTTTGAAAGGCAAGGAAAATGTTAGTGGAACCAAGGGTGATTACAAAACTGGGCACCAAACAGTGAAACAGTGACCCAAGAATGTAAGTGGCAGCTTCTGAGACCCAAAAAGCTGAACCTCCGAACAACAGCTGTAAGAAATACAGTCAACTCTGAATACATTCATGCTCCAGCCTGGGTTTCCCAAGATAAATACTGCTCAAAATGCTAAGCTTTCAACTACTTAACTACTGTTAACAGCAGCATGATTTGAATGGAGCCTTATTGGCAATCACAACTGGAGCAAGAAGAGGAGAGTCATTTCCATTAGACAAAAAGGATTCTTTCCCTCCCAATGCAAGGATGGTGGTGTGGGTGGAGAAGAGAACACACGAGTGAGGGAAGCTGAATTGTTTCTTTAGTCCATCTGGAGTCAGGTCTTTATTATGTGCCTTCATCATTTGTTTTAAAGCATCACAAAGAACACATTCATTCTCATCCTCATACATCCACATTCACACACAAGCACCAAACCTTCCAAAACCTAACGAAATTAGAGTTCTGTATTATCCACCAGTGTTTATGCCACTGATCTCTGCCATTGTAAGAATAACCAAGAAGTCACAGAGCCTCCTGTGTTTACCTCCTCAGCCTCTTTGTTTACCAATCTTTAAAACCAGAACAACATACATTAGAGTACAGTTCCCATTAACTGCAATGACCTCACACCCTTGACAATCAAAGTCCTAGAGAAATTAGAGCGTACGGTCTGGCTCATGTACTTACCCCTGCAGAAGTCCATCAGAATGAGAACTTCCCACACATCACCGCTACTCACACTGTTGATACTGGAGTCAATGTAACCCACGATGTTCTTATGCCCCGACAGGTCCCTCTATAAAGAGTTGAGAAATAAATGATTCGTTACAGACACCAATAGAGACAGAGCGAGCCCGGTTTTTCCATTAGCACAGACAACTTAAATACACAGACCAACACTGGCAGTGAGCAGAGGTCAGACTAAGAAACAGGGTCAAGAGCACATTTCCCCTGGCCTCTGAGAGTCATGGCCAGATCTTCAATAGCAACTCTACAACCCAACTAAACCATTACGCTCTCCTGAATTCAGTTCAGTTGCTCAGTCGTGTCTGACTCTTTGAGACCCCATGGACCTCAGCATGTCAGGCCTCCCTGTCCATCACCAACTCCCAGAGTTTACTCAAACTTATGTCCATTGAGTTGGTGATGCCATCCAACTGTCTCATCTTCTGTCGTCCCCTTCTCCTGCCTTCAATCTTTCCCAGTATCCAGGTCTTTTCCAATGAGTCAGTTCTTTGCATCACGTGGCCAAAGTATTGGAGTTTCAGCTTCAACATCAGTCCTTCCAATGAACACCCAGGACTGATCTCCTTTAGGATGGACTGGTTGGATCTCCTTGCAGTCCAAGGGACTCTCAAGAGTCTTCTCCAACACCACAGTTCAAAAACATCAATTCTTCAGTGCTCAGGTTTCTTAATGGTCCAACTTTCATATCCATACATGACTAATGGAAAAACCATAGCCTTGACTAGATGGACCTTTGTTGGCAAAGTAATGCCTCTGCTTTTAATATGCTGTCTAGGTTGGCCATAACTTTCCTTCCAAGGAGTAAGAGTCTTTTAATTTCATGGCTGCAGTCACCATCTGCAGTGATTTTGGAGCTCAACGCTCTCTTGAACTAGATTCTAAAACCAAATGGTCACAGGCTGACTACTTGCTCAGGGCATCAGTCTTCCCTATAAGCCAGAAGTGAAGACTCTCATCTCTAGAAACACTGCAGAGGGGCTTAGAGGAAAGCCACAGTACAAACTATTTAAATATGTGGGTTTTTAATTCAGAAAAATGAAACTGATCATTTTTTTCCTGGTTGTAAGAACAACAAGTGAATTCAACTTGACTTTTAAACTATTCATACTGTTTTTCTCTCTTCAGGAAATATATGAAAAGAATAACTGCTTTTTAAAGTTTTGGAGGGACTACAATGGCAAGCATTTTGCTCACAATTAAGCCTTTCAAACCAACCAACCGGGATAGAAGATGGGTTATGTTTCCGGCTCTCTGGTTGGAACAGCATATCTCAGGGCTGCTCATGGAATTAATGTTTCAGTGAGTACATACTGAGCACCTCTCATGTTTCAGGACCCATTCAGACCCTGGAAGTTGCCTCATCCCTTGGTATGGTTACTTCAACATCCATAGAGGCAAACCTTTTTGAAAATGATGTTCAAAGTCCAAGGTCAGTGAGCGAAAACTGAGCAAGCTGGGTAATAGGATTTATGCACAAAGTAAGGCCCTATTTTTAAACTAGTTTTAATAAATTGTTTTACTTCTGTTTAATAACAATAAACGGGAGGGAGGAAGCGAGAAACATGTGGTTCTGTAAGAGTTACCACAAATTTGGCAATTAGAACCATGAGAATAGTAACCACCACCATACTGACTGGAGACCTCAGCTATTCCAAGTGATAAAGTCTCTTTTAATCGGAAAGTACATACCACAACAAGAGGAGGCCTCACAGTGTCAAACTCACACACCTGAGCTCTGAGCATACAAACGAAAATTCCTTAGCACTTTCCTCTGAGTGAAGGAGTAAGAATGACTACTGTCTCTGAAAGGCAGAGCAAAGGTAGAAACGGGACTGCTTCTACTGGCAATGGGGCAATCACTGGCGATCTAGACAAGAACAGTTTCGGAGAAGGAATAAAACAAAGGAACAATGGAATTGGACTTGCAAAGAACGGGAGTTGCATACATAGAACCAGTGACTACCGATGACTCTTTACGAACATTCTGAGCTGAAAAGGAGCAGCACTGAGGGAAAGAAAAGGGTGGGAGAGGACTGGGCGCTGGAGAGTGGAAGGAACCAGGAGAGACAAGCTTTAAGATACAGAAGAGGATGGGGATAACTGATGGAACAAGGTCCTTTGAGTAGGACAGGATTAGGAATACTGTTAAAGGGACTGGTCTTTCAAAGACATTTCTTTCCTGGCAAACAGGAAGGAAATAAGGATGGATATGCATATTGGTTTAAGGCTGGGGGGAAAAAGGGAATTTGAGGGCGTTCAGATCCATTGTTCTGTTTTGGGGTAGAATGCAAGATTATCTTCCAAGCATTAGGGAAAGAGAAGGAAGACTGATGAGAGAAATAAAAGGCTTTGAGCAACTGCTCTGGATAATTGACAAGGGAGATGATGAGACAGAAAAGCAGCCGCTGGAACTCAAGTTTCTCTAAACAGAAAGTGATTTCAGGGCTCATGTTTTAGAGGACTGTACTTTTCGCTGCTTTTCAGCCTCATCAACTCTTCTAGAACTTGTTTCCATTTACACAGTGCTAGAAGTAGGAACATGTAGAGAGGATTTCTTTGAAACTAAAATGGAGCAGAAGATCATGTCCTCCAAATGTCCACAGAAAGGAAAGAAAGACTCATGTTTCTGTGTTTAACTGTTTGGGAAAATAAAAATCAGAAAAGTTGCCTCTGAGTTTCTCTCACCCCAAGAGGAATAATTAAGAATCTGGAAGGAAAATAAAAAGCAACTGAAAGAGCCAAGAGGAGGTCAAGAGCTATTAGAGACCCACACTGGATAATTAATGTCTGTAGATGGCATCTCAGAACAGTATGCCACGACACTGGATGATTGGTCCAAGGCCAAATTCCCATTCACCATGTCTTCTGCAAAGATCTAGATATACGTTCAAGTAGAAAAGACCATCTCTTTGTAGGGAGACAATGGCATTTCACTTTTAACGGCTTGGAGTCCAGAAACATCTTAGATTTTAGAATAAAATGTCACTGGTTTGTAAGTGATAGAGAAGATCTGTTTGAATGGCTGGGAAATGTAGAAAACGGTCAAGAGAAAATCTTAATACAAGTTGAGATAGGCTCACATTCAGGGTCAAAGTGACAGCACTTCTCAACAGCAACAGGTGAGAGGATATCAAGCTTTCCCTGGCTTGAGTTAAAAGACCAGCCCCACACTTACAGGAGAGGTCTGGGCTGGAACCCACAGGGGAGGCACCTCAGTTACTACCTGTTTATTCAGGAAAAGGCAAGGTATAGAAAGATGCTCTGATGTCCTCGGTTACAACTATTATTTGGAGTATTGAGGTAAAAGTCTACTTGCTAAGTCAAAATCTGATTTCAGAGGAGTGGTGAATGTTCAGCTAAAATATGATCAGCTTATATATTACATTACATCATGGAAGCAGTGATAAGTCTAATGACCCTGTACTGTCATTCTAAACTCTTTTTATTTATTTATTTGGCTGCATTGGGTCTTAGTTGTTGCACTCCGATCTTTGTTATGCTGTGTGTCCCTTCTTTCACGGCCGCACAAAGACACTCTAGTTGTGGCAAGCAGGCTCAGCAGTTGCAATGCATGGGCTCAGTTGCTCCACGGTATGTGGGATCTCAGTACCCCGACCAACAATCAAACCTGTGTCCCCTGCATTGGAAGGCAGATTCGTAACCACCAGACCACCAGGGAAATCTCTAAACTTTATTTTTAAATTAACATTAAATCACACTGATAAACATTATTAGAAGACCTACCTTACTGAATAGATATTTAAAGTGTTTGTAGTTAACTTAGTAACTTTCATAGTTAAATGCTTGAAGTGATGAAAAACTTTTTTCATAAACACACACAGAAACCACCATTGGAAAATAAGGCCTTCTACCCAGATCCTACAGATGATCAGAAACTTTATCTATAGTCCTAATTAATGGTCCTTCATTAGAAGGGCTGATGATGAAGCTGAAACTCAAATACTTTGGTCACCTGATGCGAGGAACTGACTCATCTGAAAAGACCCTGATGCTGGGAAAGATTGAAGGCAGGAGGAGAAGGGGACGACAGAGGAAAAGATGGCTGGATGACATCACCGACTCAATGGACATGAGTCTGAGCAAGCTGCGGGAGCTGGTGATGGACAGGGAAGCCTGAGGTGCTGCAGTCCATGAGGACACAAAGAGTGGGACACGACTGAGTGACTGAACTGAATTAATGGTGGTTGTAGCACAGAACAGCATTCTATCCCAAGCTTCAAATTTTCTGCAGTACGAAATTTCTACTAAGAATCTTAAAGCCTTATAAGAGAACAGAGGCCTCAATTCCTAAGTACATCTATAAAAACCTTCATGTTTATGTTCAAGAAAACAAAGAGGACAGCATTCTAAGTAGCATATCAATAGTGTCACTCACCTCAAAATAGTCAAGTGAGTATGGTATGTAACTAACTTCCTTTTGTATGTTTTGCTCAGACCACTCTTCCTTGGAACATCAGCATGACAAATTCCTGCAAATTCCTGATGCTGACAGTGCTTGCATTTGCATACAATAAGCTTCCAAAGAGGTGTATTTACCCAAATAGTCAATGATTTCTGATTTTATGACACAGCACTATTACTGCCAACTTCTAGCATCGCACTGTGATTCCACAAACAGTTTGAACCAAAGTAAGCTTCTTTCCCAAAGCTGCTTTGTAAAAGTCTTCTGTCTTACTATTCCTCTCCCACTCCTTTTCTCTATAACTCTAAATTTTCTCTGTACCTATTCTCTATAACTTTAAATTTCCTTTATAACTATAATTCACAAGCAAACAAAAACTATCAAATCCAGGGCAATAGTGAAGAGAAACGCTTTGAGATCTGGACTGGCACTGGAATTTCTACTGAAGGCCGTCGTATCTGAGGCCCTCGTGGATTTCTACCACATAAGTCCCAGTTATAATCCTGTCTACACTTACATTTACTCTCCCTTTTCCAAGTCTTACTCATTAACTAATCCTGTATTTACAGAATAGATCTTAAAAGTCACTCAGAGTCTGATTCTAGAGCCATGCTGCTCAGACTTTA